AAGAAGCGTCTTGGAGTGTCCAGAAAAGTGCTAAATAAAACCAATGCATTATTACTATCATTAAAGGTATATATTTTAGGAAAGAACTAGCCTGGCCTTAGCCATCCGTACACTCCATTCAATCATCATTTCACTGCATGTAACGTCTGGGTCTAGTCCCTGGGTTAGCGATTGCAATCCGTTGAATTTCGACCGACCATTCAGAGAGCGCGGGAGGCAGGTGTTGTAGTTAGTTGTGGGTGACGTCAAGAGTTTGCGTCGAACGGGAAGGTTGTAGTTCGGCAATGGCAAAAAATGCGATAGTAAAGTAATCCCGTCTGGTTCTATCAGGAAATTGAAGCCGGAGCAAGAGTAATGTTTAGCAAATGTAATCGCTGGAAAAAAACAACAGACTCGGGCGCACTACATACGTCACGGTAAACTCAGATCCAATGGTTTCAATCTGCAAAAGGAGGTAACCCCTCCCACCTGTTAACGGAGCTCAATGAAGCACCTCCAGACCTTAGTACGAAATGTCATTTGTACTATGGTGTGGTGCGACCAGGCTAGGAAAGAACCACCCTCTCCACTTTTTTAACAAAACTCTCTGGTAATATTTGACGAGCACATCACCAAAATTATTGACATTTTGGAGGACCATTGTCCAGGTCTTGATGATCCACCTGGAAGTGCAAAATCCTCCTAAATACCTTCAAGTTGAATTACAGAAATAGTTTGTTTGCAATATGCATTCCAACAGTGAGTGCCAGACAGAGCAGATTGTGCACACCAGAGCTCCTGCCACAACTTCTTGACCCTGCATCCACAAATGTCAGAAAAATCCAAAAATGAAACTTCCCCATTCAGGCAGTGGCAAAATGGTACAATCCTCTGCACGTGCAATCAAGAGCTGTCTGTTACTTTCAGCTTCAAATTCTCTATTCAACTCTATTAAGACAAATGGATTTCAGTGGAGTAAGATATTTTCATTTGAACTTTTTTGGACACTCCTGGGGTAGACTAATGGAGCCGTTTGCTGTGATAAGTCCTCATCAGCTCCAGGTGAAGGGAGGCCTCTGAAGTGACAGATGGTGGTCCTGCTTCTCTCTCTCCCTCCTCGAACACCACCCACACGACTGCCAGCTCCCCTGTGTTTACTCAGCTCCTGCTCCTACTCACTATTTACTCCACTCACAAAGTCTACATTTCACATTTGCTTCTTATTATATCGTTGTTGATGCCAGTGACAGTTCTTGGTCTTAACTGTGTTTGTAGAGCGGTGACTGCTGTCGCTTCTACACGGGAAATACCAGCGTGGAAAAACAAACGAGATGATGATGAAGATAAAACGTGCTCTTTGAAGCTGAGGTTTAAGCTTTTCATTTGTGGAGATTTTTGAATAGATCTAAGAAACGATGAATACAGAATAATGGAATGTGTTGCTTGAGGAGTAAATATAATATCCAATGATATCACTGTTTTCTAAATGCTAAAATTGATTCTATTAATCTACCAGTTGTTGCTAATACTGATAATGTAAAAGGGAAGAGAGAACCACAGAGGGGAGATTTACTGAAAGGGAATACTTAGTCATAACAAATGTTCTTTCCAATGGGACATATACTCTGAATCTATATCTATTAACATGTCATTTTAAGATTATTGAACAATTATTTTGTATTTGTGTGATTAGCTGCTGTTGCATTTAGTCACAATTTTGACTAAATCAGCCAGAAATCAGTATCTCTACAACTCATCAATATTTACCATCAACCATTTTCTATCCTATCACAATGCTTACCACATGAGCAGGTGTTCTTCCTGGCTTTTTGTTTTTATGATATTGCTTAACTGAGCATATATTTACTGTGGGATTCTACCATCGATGGGGTGTGTCAGTGCTGGGCTCAGGGGGTGGTCTCCCTCAGCTCCACAGTCCCTGGTGCGTCTGAACCAGCTGACGGCGACAGGCTGCACCTGCACCACATGAGGGAAGCTGTTTTACTGATGCGCTCTGATGGAGACATAAATCAGCAAAAATAGATGTACGAGATTCAGCCGATGAGGAACAGTACATATAGGTTTGGCCCCTAAGTGTAGAAAATATGACTTTAACAATTTACTATGCATAATTATTGTTTCAGATATGGAAGGGGAAGACTAAGGCCAACTATGTTTATGCTAGAATTTTCAGAGCGGTTTAGTTTTGGAAGCGCAGTGACTCAGATTGGCTTTTGTGGACTTTTTTATGCATCTATATTTAGTTTATTTCTATTTAATTACTTTTTTTATTTTCGTTTCTTTGTTTTGATGCTAGTAGTTATACCTTTAACTCAATTAATTAATTCATACACATTGTTTCAAATTTTGCTTTTTTTAGTTACGTGGCAGTTAAAGCCCCCTTTCTCCAAGGTGCCGGTTTACTTGCAGCAGTTAGTATTCGGTAGCCCACAAACTAGCTATGGCTATATTTCAAGTCATATTCACCCATTTTAGCAAATATTGCAAGTCAATATGAGTATAAATTATAAATTAAAACTGATGGAAAACTAACTGAATTCCATTTATTTTAATGGGAGCCGTCAAAATGTCTGTCCTATAGAAATAATATTATGAATATTAAGCGATTTGTTTTATGCAAAAGTGCTGTATCCAGGTTCACTTCCTGTTCGCCCTCTGACTGAGCCCAGTTCCAGAACACTGGCTGTGATTAGCTCTATCAAGCTTTGACCCAGTTTCCATGTTCCTTCGTTAACTTCTGGCCACTGAGTGAGGTCGCTGTTGCTGATACTACTGATTGGCTATTGACATGTTTATACTTTTTAAATATTGGTTAAACTTTAATGTATAATGTTTTAGACAAACCTCCTCCTGGGTGATAAAGCAGGAATAGTGCTGTGTTATACAGATAACAATGGTCACGAGGTAGCCCCTGTGGTCCACAGAAATAAAAAATAAACTTTTGTTTTGAAAGATAAATAATAGCAAAATTGAGCAGTGATTGGTTCAAGTGCACAATGGCCGGAAGAGTTTGTGCAAGCAGGAAAAGGAAGCAGAGAGAGTAAAGCGTGTGTGTTTGAGTGAAAGTCACAGGGTCAGCACCACTGGCCTCATATCACGGAGAAAAAGCATATGAAGCACAAAGTAGTTCAAAACAATCTAAATCTGTGACTATCAAGACAGATTATAAGACTAGTAAAATGCTTCTCAATGGAAATAAGCTTCCTGTAAAATAATCGAGGTGCTGTATTCATGATGTTGCAAATGGGATGTGTTTTGCAGAATGACCAAAAAACTGATCGAAAACTGCAAGCTGTCTACTTTCCCTTGTTTGTGAAACTGTAGTTTAGAAGTACTTTGCTGAGGAAGTAGCACTGCGAGTCAAGCTGCTGATGGCATAAGTATAAGCTCATGCCTCATTGGCCGCTCCAGATGAGTAGTTTTGTCTGCCGTGCTGCTGCTGCTCCTCCAGGAGTTGGCTCGGTCTCCAGTCTGTTCCCCCTCGTTGGGACATGGCGCTCCTCAGCAGGACAGGCCACGTTTGATCAAGTGGCCTCTTCTTTGGCTCCCGCTGGGCCGAGTGTTTTGACAATAATAATAAGTCATTGAGTTATTACAAGAGGGAATTGAAGAAGGCCACACACATAAAAGATATGTTAAAGGGATTTGGTCATCAGCCTTTGTCACAGGTTCTTCAGTAGATTGCCCATTCAGTCCCCAAAGTAGAAATTAATTCATACACTATTACTTTAATGAATTACATTATCATTGCAAATCATCAAATCATTCAAACGCACACTTTATATGCCTGATCGTGCAGAAACTATAACATGGTAAATGCTTTATATGTAGGAAGTTGCTTATATATTTCTAATTTCCTAATCATCTAAATAATGTTTGATCTTTAAAATGTTTGATTTTAGTAGTCGCACATGGAGTAGATGCGTAAAAAAAGAATATGACAGGAATATTAAAACGTAAACCGCCAGCATAAACTAGTCGCCATTTTACTTAAATAGCTGAGTAAGAGGCAGGCACCGATAAAGCAGAATAAAATGGATGGATGGAAAAGGAGCTACCACTTGTTGGCTTCCTTACTCACCTGTAGTGACTAAAACAAAAGAATGTTGCTGAGTTGCGATGTACTGTTAGGTGTAGTGGATTATTTGTCAATCTTTTAAGTCTGTTTTGTTAGATCTGCAATATTGCTTTCCATTCATTTCAACACATTTTAACACAATATCACTTGTTCAAATGAGAGTAATGAGTCTCTGGTATTTGTTGATCTCCCATGGGATAAGATGGGATAGAACTGGTGTAAACCCAACCTCAGGCACCAAACGGGAGAAGCAGATATTTCCAATAAGGTATAGAAGGTTTCTATTTAAAAGTCTGGGTGTGACATGGTGTGGCTAATCCAGTCAGAGAAGGTGACGGTTCTTAATTGGAAGCTACAGTCGCTCTTCACTGTTATGTCCTGAGAGAACACTTGCCGCTCATTGTCGAGCTGAAATTGGATGTGTGTGTGGTGCATTGCAGTGGCTCTGTTGAGTGTGTGTCCTCTAAGCTGAAGGTTAGTAGTTCGAATCCTGCCCCCAAAATATACATAAATGGTGAATGGCTGTGTCCTTGGGCAAGACACTTAACCCACATTGCCTCTAGTGTCTGTGTTTGATATGTGAAGTGTTTTGAGTGCCTTGAAAAGTAGCAAAGCGATATATAAATGTGACCCTTTGATTGGTGGTGGTCGGAGGGCCTGATAGTGCAGACTGGCAACACTTGGATAAGCCAGAGTCAGCTTATTATCAACAGCAACCTGTATACAACGTACTGAGCTCAGACTATCTTGAAACAAGCAAAAGGTGTAACAATGCTTGACAAGGTTCATTATGATAACTGAACCTCTATTCCTCCCACAATGGAGACATTCTTTGTATATGATATTGTAAAGTATTGTGTAATCATGAATAGGTCTTTACAAGCAAGCATCTTCTAACTATCTGTATCTCTTTTTTTTGTAGGGCAGAAAAAACAGAAGTCTTGAGTGAAGACCTTTTACAGGTGAGAAACAGTGACTTGTCACACTGTACACTAGAGTTTAGAGATTACACAAAAGCAATTATCACAAATCTCTTCTCACTTGAGTCGTTTAACAAGTGTGAATGATGTTATTAAGCAGGGGTTAACAGCCTGACCCTGTTGCAGGTGGAAAAGCGCCTGGATCTGGTCAAACAAGTGAGTCACAGCACTCATAAGAAGCTGACCGCGTGTCTGCAGGGCCAGCAGGGGGCCGAGCCGGAGAAGAGGTCTGTCAAGTCCCCCTCGGTGAGCCTCCAATCACATACAAGACCCCAGCGACACATTCATACACACATGTGAATGATTACATGGAAATAAAACATTGAACAAGGCCTTGGAATTCCTTGGTATACTTTAAAGCTGCACAATTTATGCTAAATGTAAAGAATAGTGAGTTCCCCATCCACGTTCAGAGCCTGTGTCAGAGGAGGGAAAGTGCTTATCTCCTGAGAGGGCGAGATATGTTTGTTAAGCCCAGTGTTAGAGCATTGTGTTTCTGAGGTCGGAGTAAACCTCTGGAATGAGTTGGCTGTAGATTTAAAAGATAGTATACAACACTTCAAGACTTTGCTGAAGAATATATTGATCACAATTAAATCATAAATTATAATTATGGAGTAAACGTCTTATTTGGATTTGTGCATAGCAGCTGTTTATGTTTAATGTATACTAAAGTGTAGGTATGTATTGTGAATACAGTTTTCAGAGTAGTCACACATCATAACCAGACCACAAGCCCAATACGGCGTACGTGGAGGGGGCTTATCAGAATGCAGAGAACCGCCCTTCTGACGCCATGCGTGCTTCCTGAGGGTCCCATGCTGCCATGGCCACAACCCATTTGCCTCCTCCATATTATGGCCATTGTCTTGTCTGCTCACCACCCCATGCAGGACACACCACCATAGGGGAGGGTGCCGGTGCCGGCGCTTCCTGTGTGGAGCAGGCTGTGGCACCCCTCCAATCTGTTTGTGGGCTGGGACAGACTTTCTTTTGTTGCTCTGTATAACACGAGACTGGGGCTCGGCCCCCAGAGCTAGGAGATACGACCTGTCGGTATGTGTCTGCTTTCTTCCTCACTTCACCACGCGTGTGTGATTCCATTAAACTTAACGCTTTTTGACTATGACAAACATCTTTAGAAGTTTTTCTACTGGCATTGGTGTGATAATATTCCTCCACAATTTGGCGTTAGCTGACCATGTCTTGGCATAGACACTTTTGAGCGAGGACGAGCGGCAATGTTTGGCCGACCTGGACGCACCAGCCTCGTGCTCTATTTGGAGACAAGGAGAGGAGAGCATGCTCGTCCTGCGCACGGGGAGGAGTTCCTTTTTTTTTGCCACACAAGACCAAAAGAACCTAATCTCTGTGAGTTTGTTTTGTCAGTTTAGTTTGAGCTTAAACAGACAAACAAAGAAACACATGGACAGAATGAACAAAGGCACCACATGGCCACAAAATGGCCTGCACCTACACAAAAATGCTTGCAATATAACTAATCTGGTGAGTTTAGTCTTTTCAACTGCGTAAAGGAGCCCAGGGCAGCACTTAAGTGTACACGGGGATTTGTTTATTTATGTATTTTTGGGGTATTTCATTCATTGCCACACAGCATAGTCTGTGTGCGGGATTTTTTGGGGGGCTTTTTGTTCTAGATTGAAAACTAGCGGCTGCGCGTTAGTATCGTCCTGTAGGCGACCCTGAAAATTTCTCTAAGTGTCTTCAGCCAGAACCGCTCCATTTCAAGAACGCGCGCTCGCTGGTTGAACCAGCGGGGGGAAATGGAGCGCCCCAAAGTGGGTAGGAGCAGGGAGAGGACTAAGCGGGTTAGCCCATTGTTCGTACGAGAAAATGGGTAAAATCAATCTACAGATGCAAGCTAATGAAGTGCTTGCCTATGGTGCAGGCCATCTGGTTTTTTTTTTTTTTTCAATGGAGGCTATATGTCCTCCGAATCATTTACGCATCTTGCGTGATAAACTTAGAAGAAGAGGAAGAAAAAAAATATCACGGCTAAAGAGGTTAGAGAAAGAAATATGTAAAACAATAGCTTCTCCGCTCTTCACCGAAGCGGAGAAACACACACACACACACACACACACATCCCCCCACCCTACCCCCCCCTTTCCCCCTACTAACAATGAGTGTGCACCCAAAACAAGGCGTTGGGTTTTTAAAAAATGAGCAGACTACTTTTCCCTCTTTTTCCTATTTCCCTCAGGTCTGTTGGCGTTTTCCTCTGCGCCCTGCTCTCTGCCCCAAAGCCCCACGCCCCAACCACAGGCGGCGCTAGCACCAGCTGAGACCCCGCGAAGAGTGGGACCAAACCCGGGAGCAGAAGAAGAAGTGGCGGAAGCAGAAACATGCTCAGGAAACCGCTGAAGAAAAAGCGGGGAAGCTAATATGTGAGACACCGACCACTGCTTTGGAGGCCAGAGACAAACTGCTCTAAATCCCGTGACTGCTCTCCACGGAGGAGGCAGCGTGATTATATCAAATGCCCGTGGAAAGTTGTTCCCCCACCGCAAACAGAAGAAGCCATTGAGCACAGGCTGCCCCCTGGTCTCTCCAAGATGTACAGGATGGACCAAAAGTTGTCTCTTGGAGTTTTGACTTTGAAAGACTTCTACAGCCCGCTTGAAAGACTGTGTGCTCGATATGCGTCGAAGGTCTGTACCGGAGGAGGCGTTAAAGGCAGACACACGGGGACAGAGGAGTGCAGAGGCGGGCACGGAGGAAACACAAGCCACGGACCAAACCAACACATTCGTCCAAAGCGACCGCTCATGTAAGTTTTTAAACAAATTGCAATTGGCACTCGTTAGAGATAATTCATGCTGCATTCCCGTATATATATATACGCTAACAATCTGTGGTGTAAAAGTTAAAATTCTGGATGATTATTGGTCCGTTCTAAAGTGAGCGGTCGTTTTACAAAACACAGGGCTTCAGTTAGGGATGGGGAATTAATCGATTTTGATCATCGGTTCGAGGTTTACATTTGAGGTGATTTATTTTCTTTTAAAAATCCGATTTAACTACGTGCTAACCGCGGGTCTGTGGTGTTGAGCAGCCATTTCGAAGCTAACTTAGTGCTAACAGTGTCCCTCTGGCCTGATGCTGATGCTCACAGTTGGTGCTGTTGCTATAACCCTTCAAACGTTCAAGAATCAGAGTTTATTTAAATCGCCAGAGCACACACTCGTGTCCCACTGAGCCGCTGCACTTTGGGGAAGACACGTCTCACACAATGCTCTCATTGCTCTGATACAGACAACGTGTTCCCCGCTAGCTGTTAGCTACATTAGCTGCTACATTAGCCGTTAGCCACAGCATCAGAATGTAAACAGGAAGCTCGCACAATGCGGAAGCCACTGAAGCTAGCATTAGCGCCACCAGCTGGACCGAGCGTGGTACTACAGCACAGTTGAAAGAACAAGCATGTACCCGAGGAGGCTTTTTTTTGAACAGAGTGTCCTTTAGAACATTTCTATTTCGAGTCATCAGTTTTTAAAATTGTGATATTTCATGTACATAATGCATGAGCTTAATAGGATTGATAGATTTGCGAAGCACCTCCTTGTGTGATTTAAGTTATTTGAAAGGTGCATAGGGTCATTGTAAGTGAAGTTATTATATACCTTTAAGCTACATTTTCGTAACAAGAGCTCATTAGAGATATAGGGGACACAACCATTTGTGATAAGCCCAAGTACCACGTGGTAAACACTAAAAGTTGGAAATGGATTTCTTTTTTTTTAGGAACTCTGAAAGTTGCAACAATAGAATTAGCTCATGAGAGAATTGTAATTGGACATGGAAAATATAACAAAGTTAAAATCACAGGCCTTTTATGTGTTACATGTTTGTGTTACATGTTTGTGTGTTATATGTTTTGTGTACGTTATGTGTTTGTGTGTCATGTCAAAGTACACTACGTGACCTTAACAAACCCTGGACCAATACTAACGTGGGAACCGGCCTGTGATGTGACTGGGATGTGAGTGTGATGTGAAATGAGGAATGCTGAACGGAGAATGGAATTACAAATGTGTCTGTAATGCGTTACTGTGATCATGGAATAATTATTTTTGTCAACAGCATACGGTGTAAGTCAAAGATAATAAGCTTTATTGAACAGGTGTACAAGTGAGAGTACTCTGGGATGAGTACTCTGAGGAAAGTACTCTGCGGAAAGTACTCGGAGATGAAATATGAAGATATTGGAAGTTCCTCCCTGTGCTGTTTGTCCTGACAGCGACACAGTCCAACCGCAGTGAGCTGTCGTTGGCTGAAGGACAACTTGGTTTGTAAACTCACATTTAGGGGAGTATAAAATCAGAAATATACATTTTGTTGTTCTGTATTTGGCTACAGCCTCCGCCCTGATGTCAAACACCGTCTGTCAATGCAGTTATGTTTTGCCCAATTGGAAAAAAGATTGACAAGCGAAAGTGGGCATTTTTTGTGTTTTTTGTGTTCTAATATTTCTTTTTCAGATGAGAGATAAACTACCCCTGCTTTAGGGATGACAGTAGTATGGACCATGAGGAAATGAGCATCTACCTGGGCACCAAAGCCCACAATATGAATTGAGGACGATCCGGGACAAAGCAACTGGAGATGAACGGAACAGTTGGTACTTTTGCAGTCTCACGGAGGGCCACCGACCCACTGCTTACTTCTCAGCGAAGCTCGATGCCGTGGCAGCAGGAGTGCCTCGCTGCCTGCGGGCTGTGGCTGCCGCTGAGAAAGCGGCCCTAGCATCACGTGACCTTGTGGGATACACTGAAATAACTTTGCTTGTGCCCCATGCTGTGTCCCTGATCCTGTTAGAGCAGAGGGCCTCTCGCCTTTCTGCGGCTCGTTGGCTGGGGTACAAAGGGGAGACGCTGCTGTATCGCCACAAGAGAACAGAGATGCACTCCCAGGCCAGACCTGAAAGAGGCGCCTCTGACTAATCCTGACTTGATTGTTGTTTATACAGACGGAGCCGCGTAACGTGACAACACTGGGAAGAACCGAGTCGGCTATGCTGTGTGTTCTGATTTTGATACTATAGACTCTGGTTGAACGGCTGCTGACAGCTGTAATGTTGCCCTTAGAGATCGCTGTATGCAAATGCCACTGAGGGCCACAATAATGCCACTGATCCCATCTCTGCAGGGAATCGGCGCGCGGACAAGGGAGCGGCATACGCACCTCTACACACACACACACTACCTCACTCAAGACGTTGATATTTTCTCCTCTGTCAGCGATGCAGGCACTGGCTACTTCAGCAGAGACGCTGCTGTGAGAGGGGAATGGGGCTCGACGACGGCATGGTGTGTGTGGCTGGGACCAGGCAGCAAACCGTGCCTACCACGGCATTTCTTCAGACAGTTTGCAATTTTAGCACATGGTCGAGACCAGGCCTCGAAAGGAGGGATGATGTGTGAATTAATCACACAAAATTGGTATACAAAGGGGTTTACGGCATTTGCACAGAGATTCTGCCAAACATGCGCTATATGCCTCGCGCACAACCCAGGTAAGTCCCAAAAGTATCCAACAGGCTGCTCATCCTCCGCCCCTGCGCCCATTTCAACATGTCCAAAGGGACTTTTGTTGAACTCACACCATGCCAAGGTAAGTAATACTGTCTGGGTCTGGCGGATCTCTGGTCCAAATGGACTGAAGTATTTGCAGGCATACACGCCACAAGCAACGCGGTGGGGAAAGCTCTGCCCACAAAAATTATGCATTGGGGTGTCCCGAGGGAAAATCTCTAGTGACAAAGGCAGCCACTTTGTAGCAAAAGTCATGAGGAAGTGGGTGAATTTCTGGGCATCGATCCCATTCGAAACCCTCTGGGCCAGATCCACCCAACTTGGGCGCGGGACCCCTGAACAGAGATCTGCCAAGCACCTCTTTGTGTGATGACATGCTGTCCTATTGTAAGGAAATTAATGCACTTTTGTCCTCTATTTATGCCAAGGTCCGGAGCGCGCTGCCACAGGCTGCGCAGGCGGCTCCACACAGGATCAAGCCAGGCGACTGGGTCCTGGTGAAGGAAACGAGACGAAAGCATTGGCGGTCCAAGCGCTGGCTCGGCCCATTCCTCGTCCTCCTGGTGACGGACACTGCCGTTAAGGTCGCGGAGAGGACAACTTGGATCCACGCCAACCACTGTCGTGCGGCGCTGCCACTGAGGGCCATAGACGAGGACACCGAGGGCGCGGACGGACCAGGCCCATCCGCGGCTCCCTACGCTGCAGAGGTCGGCAGGCGTGCGACCCCCGTCGGTGAAGCAGGCCAACAACAACACCCAGAGAATCCCAGCGTTGCCGAGGCAACCCCCCTTTGCCCAACTCCCCAGCCCCCGGACCCCAAAACCTGGGAGCCATGAAGGCCCTGAGCGCTCTGCTCAGCTGCAGCAAGTATGCAGAGCTGCTGCCCATTCCAAAGATTTCTCCAGAGCCTGCTCCCTCTGGCCGATCTGGAGCGTGCTCAAGCTTGCCGCTCCAAGACCAAACATCGCAATGACCACTAACGCTACACACACGCTGATAGGGAGCGGTGCCAATGACTGTGTTCATTATGTTAATATTGTCTTCTCTTACCGCTGTCCGGATCCATTGTGTTATTATAACGTGCTCTTTCTTCTTTTGACAAGCATGTTTCTTTTCTTGTCCACTTTGGACAGCAATAAGTTAAGTGTTTCAAGCTTGAAGGTGATGTGATTATGATGTCTCTGTTATTTAACTGATTAATGCAAAAATGGTTTTGAATTATCAAAAGAGGGGATTGTGATGACAGTTTTCAGAGTAGTCACACATCATAACCAGCCACAGCCAATACGCGGACGTGGAGGGCCTTTCAGATGCAGAGACGCCCTTCTGACGCCATGCTGTGCTTCCTGAGGGTCCCTGCTGCCATGCCACACCCTTTTGCCTCCTCCATATTATGGCCATTGTCTTGTCTGCTCACACCCCATGCAGGACACACCATAGGGGGTGGTGCCGGCGCTTCCTGTGTGGAGCAGGCTGTGGCCCCCTCCAATCTGTTGTGGGCGGGACTGACTTTCTTGTTGCTCTGTATACACGAGACTGGGGGCTCGGCCCCCAGAGCTAGGAGATACGACCTGTCGGTATGTGTCTGCTTCTCTCCTCACGCGCGTGTGATTCCATTAAACTTACGCTTTTGACTATGACAAACATCTTTGAGTTTTTCTACTGCATTGGGGTGTAATATTCCTCCACATCTATTAGCTTTAGCTTCTGCCTTTGTCTGAAAGTGTTTTTGAATTGTAAAATGTTGAATGTCTAAAATTTGGATTGATAAACTGAAATGAACTGAACTGAAGTGAATACATGTGTTTGACTGTAGAATGTCAGATAAATACAAAAAACAATTTTACTCAATGTTTCCTTTGATCTTTTAGAAAAAACTACCACTGACCGTCTTAGCACAATGTTTGGATGAAGGGGCTGCTGTGTTGGGAGATGACTCTTTATTAGGGTAAGAACTCTTTGTGTTTCACTGTTAATGGAGACAATATGAAAAGTGTTTCTCTCGTCATAACTTCATTTGTTCTTAACGATATGATTTCGCTCAATCCTTTTGTCGTTTTGGCTCAGATTTTTGTTTTCACATGAATATTTTTTTATTTAAAGCTGCACTAACTGACTTTATTTTTGTATTCATTACGAAAATGCTATCCATGTCCATGTAGTGCATTGGGATATACGTCCTTTTGAAGAATAATTAGCGCAGATTTGTGCTGGCGTGACATTATATTTTAGATTGAGTTTTGATGAAACAAGGAAGAGAATGTGTTTCGGGTCGCAGATTGTGACCAATCACAGCGGACCAATAGCCCCCACTTTCGTGAGAAATCTACAGGTCTCTGTTAGCACAGACAGCTGAGTTAGCACAACAAGACGAGGAGCTAACCTGAAGCTTCGTGTCTTCATCACCGGTTACTGCTTACTTAGCAAAACAGCCATCCAAATGAAAGTCCCGTTCCTCCGCGCTTCCCGGTTCTATCGTTCTATGGTCACGCCATCCACGTGCAAATCCATATCCATGTATTATCCATATTGGGAGAGGCTAGCTCCGTCCCAACAGTGAGTGTGTGTGGGGGGCGATAGCTTCGTGGGTGCGGGGAGGGGAGCAGAAAGAGAGAGGCCAGCGGGTCCACGGCTTCAAAATCCCAAAGTCAGTTAGTGCAGCTTTAAAACGACTATACCTGTTATATTATATTATAATTTCTTCTTTGACTCGAGTTTTCTGTAAATATCCTGCAGGAAGATGCTGAAGATTTGTGGAGAAACAGAGGAGAAGCTGGCTCTGGAGCTGATCCAGTTTGAGTTTCAGATCGAGCGAGATGTGGTGGAGCCTTTGTATGTGCTCGCCGAGGTGAGTGGAGAAGAAGCCATACAGCCGACCTGTGCAAAACCATGTATTAGTCCAATTTATGACAATGTATTATTCACTTTATAGCAGTGATTCTCAACTGGAGGTCACGAGACAAAAGTGTGTCGTTGGATCATTTTCATTTCATTGCAAACCGTTTTAAAATGTATCTACTAAAAAAGTGTAAAAAGGTAATTGAGAAAAAAGTATAACAAAAAAAGAAAAAAGAAACCCTCGATTTTTTTTTTCAATAATACTTGTATAATTTTTGTAACAAATCAAAATCTGCTGAAAATTTGAATGCACTTGAAATATAATGTAAATCTTAAAATTAGTTTCTACAATTTATTTTTTGCCACGTTTTAAATGTCCTTGATTCCAGAGTCTGTCTCAAGAGTTCTATAATATTATTCCATTCTTATAAACCATTAATTTGTGAAAATATACAGTATTTCACTTTTTTTTAAACTAAAGTCTATTATTATTTGGGTTACTTCGCCTTAGAAGTTGAGAACCACTGCATTTTAGAACTTCTACTTCACATTTGATTGCGTTTTTCTACTCTCTGTTAGGTGGATATCCCCAACATTCAGAAACAGAGAAAACACTTAGCTAAACTTGTTTTGGACATGGACTCCTCACGAACCAGGTGAAGCAAGTGATACAGTGATGATAAAGACCAGAAATGATGAGTAGTATTAGTGAGAACATGGTCTGAAATAGTCCATCGCTTTCCCTCAGATTTCATCAGTCGTCGAAGTCGTCCAGTCACCCGAGCACACTGCAGCCTGGAGCCAAGTGCGAGTCTCTGCGGGAGGAGATGGAGGAGGCCGCCACCCGCATGGAGATCTGCAGGGTACGGACATGAGCCAGGGTTGGCCCCCTCTGTGTCTTATGCAGATGTCAGGGATAGTCCTCAAATGTCTATATGTCACAAAGATAATAGTTATAACTTATTACCTGCCTAATGTCTTGTACATCGGCTAAATAATCTCCAGCTTTGAGTTAATCTTTTAATACTGTAGGAGCCAGTGCCCCTCTTAAACAATGTGTTGCAACTCGGGCTGAAATTACCAACTGAGATATTCTAATTGTTTGATCACAATTCCATTGCCTTAATAATAGTAGATTATTTTTACACTTAAACAATGTGAAACTGTTCCACATCAAGCACACAGAACTGCGACTTTTTCACACAAATGAATGATGGTAACGTTCAGATTTTCCAATAGTTAGGGTTCAAGTTCTTTATGTTTCTATGTGAAATAGTATTTTAGACTTCCGTGTTTTGAACATTCTTTTTCAATATATAATGAGTATACAGTCAAGACGTTAGACTTTCTGTTATTGTTGAAATAAATATTTAAACAAACAAACAAAAATAATAAATAACAGCAGCACTTAATGCAACACTGACTTTTCCCCACTTTTAGACTGGCAAAGGTTATTGTTCCTATCCACCTATCGTTTCAATTGTTCAAGAATACTTAGAAAAACCATTTCCATAGCAACAAGCGGATGAAGTTCCATAGTGCCGCTTTATATACAGTCAATGTCAATAGTTGCTTTCTCTTTCAGGACCAGTTGTCAGCAGACATGTACAATTTTGTGGCCAAAGAATTAGACTATGCAAATTACTTCCAGACGGTGAGTAAGCAAAGTCAATACAGCCTTTTTGTAATATCTGAAACCCATTTTGATACAAAGCCTGGTTCCCCTTCAGTTGATAGAAACCCAGGCCGAATACCATCGGAAATCATTCGAGATTCTTCAAAGTATCCTGCCCCAGATTAAAGCGCAGCAAGGTGAGTCACACGCCACAGCAGCGGACAGAGAGAAGCCATATCCAGCTGTAATTGCTTTTTATTTGTGCTCAAAAGCAGCCGTGTAAATATTTTCCAAGAGTGATAATAGTAATGATCAATTCAAACCGAGTGGAGGGTGATGCCAGCCTGGTGTTTGCTTTTACAGAGGCGTGGGTGGAGAAGCCGTCGTTTGGCAAGTCCCTAGAAGATCACCTGAACATTAGCGGGAGAGAAATCGCCTTTCCCATCGAGGCCTGCGTCACCATGCTGCTGGAGTGTGGCATGCAGGAAGAGGTAGGGTTCGTGGTTTGATTTTATTCTAATTACTCCATGGAAGACATAAGAATAATAGTCATAATAATAACCATAATGTTTGTTTAATTACAGAAAATATTGACCTGTATGTTACTTGCCTTGTTATGTAATTTTGAGTTTCAGAGTGTGGAGAAAATAATTATAAGAATGTCAACAACAAAAATTATGTATTGAAGTATGTATAATGGTCAAAGAAAAATTGTGAAACATCCATCAACCTCAGGCTCGTGGGCCAAATCCGTCCGTAAGACAATTTGTAGTTGCCCCTAACATGATTTTCAAATTTCAATTATTATTATTAACTTGCTGCATTGATGGTAATGGGCTGCCATGGCATGTTTTGCATCATCATGTTCTCAGGAAGGCATCCAAATTGAATCCATTCTAAAATTTTAAAACAACACATGATTAGAAGTTAGATATAGAACAATATTTGGTCCAGTTTAGGTTAAATCAACACAATTAACACACTTGTTTTCATAAAAATCAACCAGAAAGTAAACGAACTCTTAAGTGTCATGAAAAAAGTCATGTTTCGGCCCCTGACCCATTCCTATTTTTTTATTCAGGCCCTGACCAAAATGAGTTTGACGATCATGGTTCATGTAGGGAAATAAATCATTGTTTAAGTAAAATCTAATATTGTGTGGTGTAAATGAAGGCATACAGTTGTAAAGTACTTTATTCCTGAGACATTTGAAAAACAACAAGTTTCAGTAATTGTATTTGGAGGCAATGCTGTTGAGGGCTGAAGGCCTGATGACATCATATTGGGAGGATTTTTTGCGTACCGAGTTCCAGGAAGGACCGGACCATTTGGGAAGGGATACGTTTATGACAATTTGCGTCAAAGCTGCAGTTCCCAACTTTCAAACCACGAAAAATAGAACTATATTAAATTCATGTAACCTTGCTCCATATCTAGTTTTCACACGTTTACATTTTTTACCTCTGTCACATGTTTAGATCAGCTTTTTCAGACAGAAAAGTAAAAAATAAATGACCACCATCACTCAGCCAATCATCTCATTGCCCATAATATCAAATAGTCACAGAGCTATTTCTTATAGGTATGAAAAAAATGTCTAGGCCTGATTTGACATTTAACTCCTTTCTGTTGAATCAAAACACATTATTTGTGAAAAAAATAAGTTATTATAAGGTATTACAGCTTTAATGAGATTTTATTTGGATGAGGGAACAATGTTGTAACTTGGTTTAGTAAGTAGTAAGTAAGTAAGTTTTTATTTATATACCGCCTTTTCACTGCAGATCTGAGTCTCAAAGCGGTTTACAATTGTTAATTTTGGGCATTAGTCTCTCACTCCACACAGAGATGGGAGCGGGGCCAGTACAGGAGGCGCATGCCAGAACTATTGTACATATTTTTAGTGGTAGGGGAAACCGGAGTACCCGGAGGAAACCTACGCAGACACGGGGAGAACATGCAAACTCCACTCAGAAAGGCCCTGGTCCGACCGGGATTCGAACCCAGGACCTTCTTGCTGAGAGGCGAGAGTGCTATCCACTCAGCCACCGTGCAACAACTTATAGCATAGTATGAGCCTAATATCGTTCACTCATTTTCCCGTAAACCTCCGCAGGGTCTGTTCAGGGTGGCACCGTCAGCGTCAAAGCTGAAGAAACTAAAGGCTTCGTTGGACTGTGGGGTTCTGGATGTGCAGGAGTACTCATCTGATCCACACGCCATTGCAGGTGAACTACGCCCACAGAACTGACTCTATCGCCATAACAACGAGCCTCTGCACATGATTACCAAACAACAGAGGATAGAGAAATGCATTGAAGCTCGTGGGGTTATTTAAGGCCACCTGTCATATCGAAGGGAGTTGTGTTTAAATGTTTACACACCAAGTGTAAATCAAGTGCATTGTTTTGGCCTTATTTTGGAGATCATGAAAAACTGTCTGTCACTTGTCGTTAAAGGTGCAGTTAGCAATGTTGTTAGCTTAGCCGTAGCAACAACTGGAAACCACTCCCCCCTCCCCTCGCCTCTTCACCAAACCAAACATCCAGCATTTTCTTTTCTTTGTCACAACAGGGAGAGTGGGTGGCAAACGTGAAATTGGCATTTTCTGTTCAGCCCTTTTAGGTTTTAGAAAATAATCCGATAACTCAGGTGTGTGCACTCGCGAGAAACAGGAAGAGGGTGAAGGGAGTAAACTCATCCCATTGGTTCGTTGGGGATGAACGAATCCCATTGGTTTAGTTTTATCGGTCTGCTCCAAAATATGTTTCATTAATTTTTGGAGACTATAGGCATCTGGTCAATTACATTATTATTTGAAAACACATGATAACTTGACTACTTTTAGGGTTTAGGGATGTTTTCCCACAATATTTAAATAAATGCAACTGGAAAAAAATCACTGACTGCATCTTTAAGTGTTGTGTGATTGGAGCATAAATAGCAATAAACCAGCAATGCATTGGCATCATTAAGACGATATTTGGAGGATTTTAAAGGAACTGGTGAAAAATGGGCAGTCTTACTGTACCATCAGAAATCCTCACAGATCAAAAATTTGTCCCACAGGAAAAATGTCAGTGTCGCATTACAAATTAAAAGAACATTTGGATTGAGAAGCGCACAACACAGGAAAAGTTAGTAGTAAATAGCACAACTGTATACTTTAAAAATGAAATAAATTAGAATATCTATCTTTAGCTTAAAATAAGTATAGACTATTGCATCCTCTAGAGTAAGAAAAATATACTACATCTGCAGACAAAGGAGGGTTCAAAGGTTCACAGTGATGTACCTAGTGTACATGTCTGCAGCATGAGGGTATGGGATAAAAAGTGACTGAAGTAAAGTATGTGGCCTATAACGTAACCGTGGACACATGAGGTGGGACCACATTTTTTTGCTTGTTCTAACATTAAGAACGTCATCCAAAAGCCTCCATGCTTTCATAGGTGTTAAAGAGGAAATACCTGCCATTAACAACTTGGGGATGGACATTTATAATTGGGATCATTTGAGTAGTTTCGGTTGACATTATCATTTGAAAATAGAAAGCATGTTTATTTGACAATAAATGGCCTCACACAACCACTGACAGTGTGTTATTCATCCATCCATCCATTTTCTTCCCCTTAATCCATTTCTGTTATTCATAATCTGCCTTACTTTGTAAACTTTACAGCTTAACTGTAGATTTTGTATTCTGAAATTATTATTCAAACAGTCTTGTTCATGTATTTGACAGATTAATGCTGAAAAATTATGTGTGAGTTGGCTATTTCAGTTTGGCAATGGCTGAGTTTTGGCAATAGTACGAACCATCTTTCCCTGCAAGAACACTGCGCAATCCTGTTTTTCAACACTCTTGCCAGCTCAGTTTTCCAAGTACTTATTTTTGGTTTGTATGAATCCACAGGGGCTTTAAAATCATACCTCCGCGAACTCCCCGAGCCACTAATGAGCACTGAACTTTACGACGAATGGATACAAGCATCCAAGTGAGCTGCTGTTTTCTCAATACTCTTCATTACGCTGGATGGATGTGAAAGCTAGCCGCGAACGTGCTGCCAAGAATACTGGACTTACAATATAATCATTTTGTTTTTAGCATTCAAGATATGGACAAGAGACTACAAGCACTTATGGCGACTTGTGAAAAACTGCCCACAGACAATTTGAACAATTTTAGGTCGGTAGCAGCTATAATTAACAGCTCATTCAATACAGTGGCCTAGATTGTTAACATTTTATGATTTCATTTTCTGCAGATATTTAATTAAGTTCTTGGCCAAGCTGAGTGACTATGAGGAATCGAACAAGATGACGCCCGGAAACATGGCGATTGTCCTTGGTCCCAATTTGCTGTGGACACACACTGAACCGTACGCCTGTCAAGTTTACCTTTGTGTGAATGAAAATGTATTATGTTGCTTATTGTTTGTTGTTATTACAGAAACATGACGGAGATGATGACGACAGTGTCTCTGCAGATAGTTGGCATTATTGAGCCGATCATTCAGCACGCGGATTGGTTCTTCCCCGGAGGTGAGCAGAAAGAGGTCTTTTTATGTGGCAATATTTATTTTCCCTTGATTGCTTGGTCATCTGAAGAATAATTGGTAGAATATCTGAAGAAGATGACAAAGTCTGGGATTGTGTCTTTTATTCAGACAGAAGACATGTTTTATTGTCAATGGTAGAGACAGCACGAACAACACGAACAAGGATGTTAAAGACTGCAACTGGTAATATACTCAGGAGAAACAGCTCCAACCCGCCGCTGCCACGTGCCAGCAGAGATAGTCAAAACAAGTAGTGGAAAAGTACTGGCTTCTGCACATTGATAGAATGTGTTTAACTTTAACAAAAGTTGCTTGAAAGTGTTATGAAATCTCACATATCTTATAATGTCTTGTGTTTTGACACATGAACTACACTCACTACAGCTTCAAGGGTCAACAACATTTTAGTGTCAAACAGTGTAACATATCCGCTTAATAAAAGTGTATAATAGATTTTTTGTGTACTATTTGTATTTGTTGTCATTTAATAAAAAAAGTACATTTATCAGCTGCAGAAAGGGCTGTTTGCTGTTCAATTATTAGCTTTGATTAATAAAACAATCTATTCACTTTTTTGCTCTCCACAAAACATCCTTAAATGCACATTAGATATAGTTTTGTAGTGTGGTTCTTTAGTAAAAATAATATGTTTTTCTGCATGAAATCATCGTAATTGAAAATATATTTGTCACAGTTAGCTCAGTGCGCTCATGGCTACAGTTTCATGTGGTGTCATTAACAAAGAGACTTTGATTAACCCAATTATTGTAATAGTTTGAGACCTAACATAGATTCGAATAATCATCTATTTTACGTATGATTATGTCCTTGATTTTGCTTTTGCTCTATTTCAGAAATCGAGTTCAACCTGACTGGTTGCTACGGCAGCCCCGTCCACACCAATCACAACTCCAACTACAGCTCCATGCCCTCGCCTGACATGGACCATTCAGAGCGCAAGCAGCCACACGACCAAAGCCGCCGCCCACTGAGCGTTGCCACGGACAACATGATGCTTGAATTTTACAAGAAAGATGGGTATGGTGCAAACACATTCGTCCCACTTAATGCAGAATCTGTGATCTTGTTCTTCTCACTGCACCGTCTGTCACATGTTGAATTTGTATTTGAGAGGAATAAAAAGTTAGATTTCAGGTTAAGCAACTTGAAATATAGCAGCTTATCCCATTGAAAATAATCAACCAACCAATGCATATTGTATTCTCATTTATGACATTTATTTATAACTAAATAGAAATAAACAGTGTTCACTGGTATTGTTTCTATAGCAACAGAGAAAGACTCTTTTCGTGTTGCATCGATTTTCTTCTTCCCTCCCAGTCATCTCGTCACCTGTCCTCAGTCATTCACATGGATTTTACATACATCCCAGCAAACATGAATTGCACATTCAGGAGCACAAATACATGTGATAAACTCATCTCTGTAGTTTTGAGATGTTTTCAGCTGTTGTATAGTAACAGTACAGTGCCAGAGCCTCAGTGCTTCATATCTTTGACCTGAATTACAGATTATCTATATTTGCTCATTTGAAAATATCACATATTAAGTTTTAATGCCATCCTCCTTTTTCCTCTCTTCCTAATGCAGCATTAGGAAAATACAAAGGTATTTGTAGCATGAATTTCCCTCTCTTTCACCTCAGTACATACTTTAACACACAAACATGTCATTGTTGACGCAGCATGGGCGTGAGGGTGATGGACACGACCTGGGTCTCTCGAAAGGGCTCGTCCACATTGTCGAGGAAGACATCGTGCACTCCCCCGGGCATGCCCTCTGCCGGCCTGTCTGCAGACTCACTGATACCAGAGCAGCCTGGAGAGCTCGTACCCTCGCCCTCGGCCACGCCTCCGCTCAGCGACAGGGCCTGGTACGTTACCGTGGGTTACCATGGGATTTCCATTGCTAAAGCTTGTGTAAAATACCATTACCATCACCATCATCTCCTGTTCAGCTTTTTAAAACAATCCTCCTGCGCTTTATTAATCATACCTTATTAATTTGCAAAATAAGCTTTATTTGTTTTGCACCCTGTTTTTGGCTTTCTTTTCGTCACCTTGACTTTTTGCAGCCTCATTGTATGGAGTTTCAATCCACTTAAGGAAACTGCATTGAACTCAGAGTGTGCTTCAGCATGGACGGCTTTTGACATCAGTTTGATGTTGATTATGATTCCCCAGCTTCTTTTTATCTACCTATTTTTTGCCATTTTGCTCTGTTCTGATTATTTTTGCTAAACACCTGGCAAGTCACCCCATAGTTTCTGGCTGTGTGGCAGACTCAAGATAATTCTGGCTTGGCTGGCTCCCCCACCTCTGCTGCTCTTTCATCCAATGAAAGGGCTTTGCGTCTGTTTCACACTGCTCTGGGCTGATGGCAGGACCTGTGATGCAAAGATTGCATAGGGTGAGGGCAGATAGGGTTTCCATATGCAGCAGTTAGTCATCAGTTTAGTCTGATAACACTTGTCAGCTGAACAGCTGGACTGCCCCGCGCTGGCTCTGATCCTTTCAGCTCCATGCAGTGTGCAGACACAAGATGAGCACACACCTTTTCTTTGGCTGTTTCTTTGTGCTTGTATGTATTTACACCAAGAGAATGGGACAACTAACAGTTACATCCTCGTTATAACAAGCTTACGGCTCTCCCTGTTCAGTCACTGGAGCTGTTTTTTTCTGCTGTCTATTCTTCTACATATCTACAGCTCAGATCACGTGATTCCCAATCGGCCAGACACCTCTCATGCCCACTCGCTACAGGGGGAGGACCGGCCACCTCCACCTTACCCCATGTCGTCGTGCCACAGTATGACGCACCACTTCTACCCCAAACCCCCGCCTTGTGCCCGTCCAGTGGCACCAGGTCCAGAGTCTCAGCCCCCTGGATCGCCTCCAGCCCCCCTCCGCTGGTCTGGCTTTACCCCCCCAGTCCCACACCCTTCCTCCTCTTCTTCTTCTTCTTCCTCCTCTCTTGATATCAACTCAAATCCCAAACCCAGCTGTCTGCACTTTGTAAAGCACAGTCCTCCTGGTGACATGTCACATGCCCCCTCGGCCTCAGACACAAGCGCCTCACCTCTATACATCAAAACATCTCTGGTCCTCAGCCGCCACGATCAGGCCTTTGGTAACCCCCCTAGCCTTCCTTCATCTGCGCCCCCACCCCCCCCATGGGCCGCTTGTCCAAGTGCCAGAGAGAGAGGACCTTCCAGACTGACTAGGTAAATACTACACACCTCCACCTCAACAGTGGAGCAGCCTGACGCTGCTCTCCTCTTCAGCCGACATACAGAACCTCACAATCTGGAGCTTTCACGTTGTCCAGGCATTGGTTGCCTAGCAACTGAATATGGGTTATGCCAGGCGAGATACTGGTGCTGATACATTACAAGAAATCATACATCTAGCCATGAATGTAGGTGGGCACACTTCACTGAGTGGATTCACTCAAGTACATATGGTTTATAAAAGGGTTGGGGGTGGGGTTGACTGTAACAGGTGTTGTTTCTGGGCACATAACAGTTATAACTTCCTTGTTGTTATGGTTTGGCTTATCAGCAAAAAAATATTACGTAATTGGTAATCAGCCTGTATCAATACTGAGGGGGACAATGATAAAAGTGCTGCTTTATCTTATCTGTGTTTATTATGTGAATTACGTTCCCTATTGTTTCTCTTTTTAACAACATTTGATGTATATACGTTCTATTTGCTGTCATTAATCAAAATCAAGTGTGCAGTTTATTATTGTACCACTACTAGAGGTAACATCATATTCTCATTGGTTGTCCAAAACTTGGAGGATCACATTAAGATATCCAACCCTGCACATGTTATTCAATAACTAATGATTTAACTATTCTATGTTGTGGATGTTGGGATAATACCTCAACCAAATCTAATAACTATGTTTAGTTTCATGTTAAAGCCGAATGCGGTGCATGATGTTGATGGTAATGGTGGTTTTTGATTTACTTTATGATACGTTTTATGCAACTCTGCTGCTAACATCATTGTATTGTTTCAGTTCTTTGAAGAGTAAGGAGCTCTCTCCTGTGATTGGCCACAAAGCCATCCAGGTGGCGACTCCAACGGTTCCACTGAACTGTAGTCCCCAGAGCAGCAGCCAGTGCCCCCACTCCACAGAGCACAGCCCGCACTCTCTGCGCAAAGGTATGGATCGGTTTGATTATTTAGTGAACTCAATAATTACCATCATTACTAAAGTGTTAGTCTTGTTTGTGCTCAGGTTCTAAGAAACTGGCTCCAGTGCCTCCTAAAGTCCCATTCACTCAGTCTGGTGGAATTCCTGACCAGTCTGCGGGCCAGCCCTCACCAGTCAGCCTGTCCCCCACCCCTCCCAGCACCCCGTCCCCTTATGGACTGAGCTGTCCTTCAGGGCCATTGCCTCCCTCCTCTCCCGGACAGACTCCGCTCGGTGGACCACATTCACTGTCGTCTCCCCCCTCTTTGACAGGAACACTCACCAGGTCTCGACCTGCTCCTAAACCCAGGCAGAGACCCAGCCTGCCGCCCCCCCAGCCCCCTTCAGTGCCCCCTGGACTCTTGGGACCCACCTCTGTGCCACAGCCCTTGGAGCATGGCCTGATGGATGGTCTGTCGCCAGGAGAGAGCATGTCCACAGGTAATCTTCACCTCATGGCTACAACTCCCCCACCACAGCGGCCCACTCTCAGACTCGCTGTGGCTCTGTCCAATGGAGATGGTGGGCGGGTGTAGGACTGACTTTGTATGTTTAAAACATCTGTCATCTTCTAAAAAATAATCTCTAAATGAATTCAAGTTGCCTTTTAGACAGATGTTTAAATGATACTGCAATACTCTTTTGTGCACTTTTAGAAAGGCGGTTTGTATCCATTGCTTGTGTTCTGTGAACGATGTTTCTGGGTAATGTGGAAACATCAGAGAAGCGTAGCTTGTCCTGCTTGTACTCGAGTTACCATTTGACTCATCTTGTGCTCTCTGTTTATCTGTGTTACCCAGACCCTCACTTGGCAGAGGTAGGTCAGCAGCTTACAGCGCATACGCACAGTGCGCTCTGTTCAGTGCAGTAACTGGAGACGAGCCTGTAGATCTCATACATTACACATAATAATTAAATACTAAGACAAAACATACCTTATCTCACTCATTATGTTCTTGTCCCCCTACTACTATTGTGTACCTTGCAGCCGTATGAGGCCAGGGATTCTATGTGGGCTAAATGTGAGGGGGACTTTAGGGTAAGCCAGACCGCCCCCGCCCAATGTGCACCATTTCACCGCCTGGCCTCTCCGTGTGGCTGCCTCTGGACTTCCTGCACCCTGCCAAAATGAACATGTAATTCACAATTGAGATCATATTTGAATAATCCTGACTTTTTTCTAAAGAGTGCATGGCTTAAGGATTTCCGAGAGTGCACCATGCTGTGCTCACTTTGTCCGTTCAGTGTAAGGTCTGTCCTTGAGATCCTGCTTTTTTTTAAGCGGCAAACATCCTCCCCACATGCTCTGCCTCTGGTCATGGGGGACAGGTAAACCCCCTTTCACTGGCAGGTTCATTGCTTTAATAACCTTTGCACCTTATTACTACGCTGCCTCACTCATCTCATTCCTACACAGGTCTGCCTAAGCCTGCTGCTTCAAACGTAAAAGGCAGCAGTAACTAAACATTTTAATGCAAATGGATTTTTAATGGATTTCCGTCCTTACTTGGTGTCCTCTGGTGCCATCAAACATCTTGTTGCCTCTGTGTGGGTTTACTTGACCAGTGCTGTAAAGAGTTATGTGTCCTTGTGCAGTGAATTTGATGTGTCGATGTTGATTTTGAAAAACATATCACACTGAAGTGACTTGAATAACAATGGTAACATCCTGTGTAGAATATGAAGCACATGTAATGTACTAATTTCAACCAGGTCGAAATCATGCACCACTTGCAGGGGTGGAAAGTAACAAATACTTAACTTACTGTAATCTGAATAGAATTTTTTGATTTATTCTATACAGGTATATACTTTTTGAATATTTTTAAAGATGAGTTGAGGATTATTGTAGCCATTACAATTAAATTACATTACATTACATCCCAAACACTTGCTCACTGCTGTCTATTTTAAACATAAAAACATCTAACAACAAAGCATTTCCTGGACAGAGTGACAAAATACTTGTTATATGATGATACGTTTTGTTATATGACCTAAAAAGAACTGAAACTGCATTGAAATGTCATTAGTATTTGCAGTTTTGTCATGCAAGTTAAAACACTAGCAATTAAGGCAATTTTAGTGGTAGTTTTTCCAATACTCTTTCCACCCCTGACCACTTGTCATAAATTCCAACCCAAAAATATTAATATAATTTCTGCTTTCTTCCGTTTTACACATCATTGTCACTCTCATCTGCCCTACTCATGCCATCCCCATTCTCACCATTCCGCTCGCCATCGCCCCCACATGCCCACCCATAGATATCTTCAATTATGAAATCCCCTCCATCAATGTCAATCTGGACAGCCTCATCGATGAGTTCAGCGGCGCCCCCTGCAGGCGGTCCATGGCCGTGACAGACTCTCCAGAAAGGGATGCTGTGGCTGAGGAGGAGCCCCAGAGTACCACCCTATGACACTAAAGCTTGCAGCGCCTGTTACACCCTGCTTACAAGGTTTTGATGGGATACACCTATTCCCTCCCAAACTGTTGCACATCTGCTAGACAGCAAAGATACAGTATTAATCCGTAGATCATCGTCCACATGCATGACTTCAAAACACACATACACGTTAACGCCATCGTGGAGGAACAGTTGCCTTTTTATTGGAAAGACTGGATCACAGCCCAGAATATTTAAGAATAACTGAACCACTTTGCTTTAGCGCCTCATTTCTGTTCTGAAGAGTGGTCTGCCTTTTTTTTGGTAAGTGTTTATGTTTGCCTTAACAGAACGTGCTTTTCGATGGGCATAGATTATCCTTTGAGATCAGCCCACGGCGTGAGGAGGGGATAGTGGTCAGTGTTTTTGCTCACAGGGTATTCAAGCTTTGTGCACCCAAGACCCAAAGATGGTCGCCGCCCGTTATACACGCGACTGTTTTAGTGTGCTACAATCACCAGTGTTGGGGATGACGGAATACATAATGGAAACTCTTTGTCAAAATACATTACTTACACTTACTTATTTTTAGATTTAGTTTGTTTGCCATTTACCGTTCAAAGCCACATTGAGTATTTGTGCAAAACCCAGTGAGCACAATAAAAACAAATACGCTAACACAATACTATAATATAATACAAAATTGAAAAAAAATTAAAATAAATAGGAAAACAATTGACACTGTGAAAGGTTTAAATGCGAGCACGTACTAAAAGCAATAAACTGCTCAATTTGACAATTACATTTTTGGGTGAAAATACAGCGACTTTTCAAAACATTTAATAATGCAATTTTGATCGCAAGATACAGAAAAATGAATGAAAACAGGATATATTTGAGTTTATGAAAAAAAAATTCTAATCAACAATAAGAGTAAAATACATAAATATGGTGCAAAAAACAAAGTTGTTTTAATCCATTGCCACAATTCACCGTAATATTATGCAAAATAGCTTAAAGTATTCAGAATACTGTACTCGGACTGGGCCATAGAACAAGTACAAAGTATTCCGTATTTTGTAATCAACTACATGTTCAAAGTATTCTCCCCAACACTGTCAATCATTATGTTTAAATACATTTCCTAGCACTTCATTTATCAGCTACGATCACCGCGTACCAGCACATTATAAAAGAATGTTATTGTGAACTGTTTCTCTCTAAAAAGACAATAGATACATTGCACATGAAGCCTAAAACTCTTTGTGCCAAGGGGCTCAGCGTGGCAGTGTTACGGTGATAAAGGACACCACTGCCTTTAGGTTTGTATAAATATTTATCTCGTTTTAAGTGCTTCAGGTTGAGTGACTTTGACCCCGTGTGTAAATACTAAATCATGTACATAACTTGATGTATATAAATCTGAGATGAAGAGTCTAACTGGAATATACAATAATATATGTTCTGATATTTATCGTGTGAAAAGTATATTGATAAAATAATCACATTATTTTTGGTCCTGCACAAACTACTTGTACTTGTGACGTTTCACTTAAAACCCAGGTTACAAAGATGCTGCAGCAATCGTATAACTTCTTTTTTTTTTTTTTTTTATTCTTTCAATTTAATTCTGTCATTTCCAGCATTATCATTTGTGTACAAAAGCTCTTGTGGAGTTACAATGTCATTGGTCAACCACAGGCCCACCGTTTTTTATATTATGATTAATCAAATTAATTGGAATTGGGGGGAAAATGACATTTTCTGTAACTAAAGATAATTACATTTTTATGCATATTCCAATTATTTGCATATTGCGTGATAGTTGTGGTGATAATAATTTCATGTCAATATTTGCCTCTCAAAGGTTTCTTACTGGCTTGTACTTTGTATTGGAGGTCTGTTTGAGCCAAACATTTTAGGATTTTTGTTGTTGACCAAATGTGACAAAAAGTATGATCCAGGTTGAGGACGGCCTGCTGGCATGCAAAGCTTCATCGACCCCAAAGCATGTGTTCTCTTCATAAGCGCAGTGATGCTGCAGGTATAAAGAACCCTGGTTACAATCTCAATTTATCATTGTTTAGATTTTAGTATAGATAAGAATATTGACTTTATGGTACATTGAGGAATATTTTCACTTCACCAATCAAAGTTAATTTATTTACATTTTGTTATAAATGAAAAAGGATGTGTAATGCATGCATTTAGAGAAACTTTTTGTATTCCACTATTGTGTCAAACACTGTCTTTGTAGGGTTTGTACAAGGGTTAACAATGTAATAACAAAGAACTGTGTGTAGGGAATGTGGGTTTCTTTGAATGGTCCTGTTTGGGTTTTTCATAGCAATACGACAGGAGTGGGTGCGTGTGGATGTACTGCCTCCTTCTGCTTTCACTAGTGTACTGAATATGAAGTCGCTGCTTGTTGAGCTCACCATGCCATCCATTCATCTGCCTCTGCTTAGCATATCAAGTGGACACAGTTTGTGTACTGTGAGGCCTATACCTGCAACTCTGATCAGAATGTCAAGATTAAATATCTATATTAAAGTCTACATTTGTTATAAGAACTTCTCCTTTGGTCTTATTGTTTCAGCAACAGCCCCTACAAGGACATTAATTATTTTGTATGTTTGTCAAGAGAATTAAGTTGGACTTACAGGGTCAGGGACAGAGTTTTATTCACGTTCACTTGTTTTCAGAAATCTGATGCAGGTAACCCCTGAAATGCTGTTGTCCGTGATTTATTTTAAATAATGGCCAACTGCATCTGAATTTGTAATTTTCTCGGTTCACTGCTGAAATCCACTCACATGCCAGGTATTTTCCTTGATCAAGAAGGATTTCAAACTTTCTTGGTTCATCAATATTGAATGCAGAATGCTACAAAATGCTGCTTCATTGAAAATGAATCAGCATTATATTTATGAACACTGTAACATGTTTTAAATGACTTTGAACATTAGATTTCAAAATGACAAATCTCAGCTGGCCTCCCAGAGAAACCACATGACAGTCACTTCAGATGTGTAACCTGTATGACTGGATCAGCCAGATGACTTGGGTTTTGCCACACAGGGAAACTAGGAGTGGACGTGTTTGCTATAAGAAGATGGAACGCTGTATACTGTTCTTAAATCAGTGCCTTATGTAATTTAAAGTAGAATGTTGGTCTGTGCTAGTAGTATCTGGCATCCTCACTACCAGCACTCACCAAAGTGAAGACAGTCCAAGTGTAATTCAATGCTGAAGTCTTGTCTCTCCTTACTGCATCGCTGCTATAGTATATCTCCTTTAGGCATCAACAGCATGAATTATTTCAGACAATCGTTTAATGGCTCCTATTACATTGTTTTACAAGTTTAAAAAAAATTGTGCAAACAATGTGCAACTTTCACACTGACCTCCAAGGGATGAGGCCCCTGAAGAAGTTCCATGAAACTGGACATCTCAGTCACAAAAGCTTTTGTCTTCTTCTTGGAAACTGGGTATCCAACAACAGAGTGACACAGGCAACAAAAACTTAACTTGCTGCTTTAGCCAGCGTTTAATTGACAATGAGATAATTGAGATTTTCTCTGTCACAGAAATTTATATAAACCAAATTACCTGATCAGTTTACACATCGCATGCACAATTTTGACATATGAGGCACATAAGATGTCATCTTTAGAATGAATGATTGGAAAATAAAACGCATTGCTCTGACACATTTTGGCCATCAGTTAATCAGATGGGAAATATGGGCAATCATAAACAAGAAATATTAATAAGAGTTTTTTCGGTAAATTGAAAAGTATAGCATTTAGCTTCAGTCCATATAAAACAGTTTTCTTTTAGCAGAGTTCTGATTTGATATGCAGCTATGCCAACAATATCCAGGGTAAAGTCGCAGCCACCAGTGCCAGTGCAGTGAAGAGCGAGAGCAGGAGGAGCAGGCACCGCGCAGTAGTGCACAGTCTGCGCCTTCTCCTGTTGGGGTGCACCGCGGTAATGGCCACACTCAGGGCATCCTCCTCCACCATGGGACGCCCCTCTGCGCTAATGATAAAAATCTGTGATGCATTATGAGAGGGGCAAACCAGTCTCTGTCTGCGTTCTGCAATCCATCTAACTACATGGGACATCCACTTTAATCCCGTGGGTAAAGAGTTCCTTGGTGGTTCCGTGTGCTGATGCTGCTGCTGTCCCATGGCAATAGCGACAGGCACTTCCAAAGTCTGCCCCGCTGCTGCTTCCGCATCCTTCTCCGCATTAAGAGACACTACAGCCTCCTTTTGTTTCCTGATGAACGTGATATGTCTGCATATTGGACAAACTAAAGTGTCTCTGATGTTCCCATTAGTGTTGACGCTCACCAGGGTTTTAACAAGGCAGTCGTGACAGAAAACATGACCACAGCTCAGCGTCCTCTCAGCGCCAGATAAACTGTCATAGCACACCGGGCATTCGTCTCGACAGTCCTCATGGTCAGCGTTTAAAAATGCCATCAAAAATAAAAAATAAAAATAAAAAGCGCTTATCCTCAAGCCCTGCGTGGATGAGCGACGCGCTTGGTGTATTTTGTCAGTGGTTTCCTTTACTTAAGGCTGTGGGTGGATGAAGTTGCAGGCACACCCATCACCTGCTCCTCTCTCTCTCTCTCTCTCTCTCTCTCTCTCTCTCTCTCTCTCTCTCTCTCTCTCTCTCTCTCTCTCTCTCATAAATACCATACACGCAAATCAAGGGCGAGCATACAGGCCAATTGTGCTTCAAATATAACTCTTCCTATTGTTTATGTTATGTTGCAATATGTATAATCAAAGTAGCATAATAATAATATAAATAATAATAACAATAATGATAATAATAATAATAATAATAATAATAATAATAATAATAATAATAATAATAATAACGACAACAACAACAAAGAGGAAAATAGGAAGTTGCTTATTTATGTTAGAAGTGCCAACAACGACATCAGGGTTTCCCAAAGTGTCAAGGGCCAATGCAGGGGGACCTTAAAAGGAGGTCTTGATTATTTTGGCTATAAATAGTGTAGTTTAGGAGAAAGTAATTCATATAATTCAAAATCCAGTTTAATTGTGCTTTCTTCAGTGTGTTTAGTTACCATGGCGACGTCCTCCTTCGTCCAGCCCAGTTTTACGTAACCGCACGTACGTCAGGGCGCACGCACAGTGGTCTGACGCCGCTTCCGGGAGTCGCGTTGGCAATTTCCGAAACACCGGAACACATCGGTTCGCCCAGCTCAGAGGATCTGCCCACTACCGCTGTTCCTTCGGACCTCTAGATCCGTCTGCGTGGACTGTGCCACTTCAATTTGACATGAGCTGGTAGGTTTGGACGACTTTAAAGATAACGTTGTGTTGACTTTGCTAGCTGAAGCTGCTTGGTGTCTGTAGTTAGCTAGCGGCGACGCAGTGAAGGCTGACAGCTCTTTGGGCGTTGAATTATCTGCTCTTCTCTTAAGATGAAATATCTGGATGAATGTATTTGCTATCTAACTTGTTTTACACATGTTCGATCGTATAGACTGGCTGTTGTTGACCCTCTGACCCCCATGCTGTCACACAAACACGCAGATATCATATGTCGTCTCACTGACTGGGTGTGAATTAACCTCAGGCCAGTTTCACGCAGTCTAACGGTGAATACTGTACCCTAAATATCAGAGTTGTATTTAAGGCTACGTTAGAAGTTGGTTAAGGTTTGGGTTTGGGCTGTGTTCTACCACACAAAGTAACTCCTCACATTTAATCAAGGACACATTATATTATTGTACTTTTAACCATTTCAAATTGTGTCAATACTGTCTGGTGTAATGTAGGCTCTAAACCATTACTCTATGTGTATGTCCTGTTTTCTACTGAATTGACAGAGAATGACTAATGGTGTGTCAATGGTGTGTCAACATTTTTCTTCTACATTCCCATTTCATTCATTTTACAGTTTATGGATTGTTCATAGATATAACTCTGGCTGTTGCCTCACTATCCTAACCAATCAGGTTGTTATGATGCAATTAGATCAGACCTGACATTTGCCTGACTATGTGTAGGGTTACCTCACTGAAATATTCATGTGACTTAAAGTACTCTATTCCTAGAGATTCCCACCATTTAGCCGAAGTAACTGATAACATTAGGTTTTAAACAGTCTTTTACAGAGTTTTTATTTTATTTTTTATAACGTAATCATAGGAATAGTATCTGCTGTGGTTCCCCAATAATAACCTAAAGCCTCAATCTCCTGCATTTGCCATCAGTCAACTCAGACCAGCTGCATTTGCTTGACATTACCATGCCTGGAATAAATCTTATGGTTTGGCTGCCTTTGAACTTGTTAAGTAACTTTTTCCAGCGTTCCCCCCCTTTACCCTTCCTTCTGGTCAGTGGTTTCCGCTGTGAGTGTGTGCGGACACGTGAGGGGCCCACTGTAGAGAAACTGTTTATGACAACATGTGAGAGGAATGCACGTGGAAGACCAGACTTAGACTCAACAGTCTCCTCCTCCACTTCTGGGACAAATGTTGAGGGGAATGATATGTCTTGGCTGAGTCTGGCGTTCTCTGTAGTAGCAAAAGTAGCAGTCGAAGTAGTAGAATATGCTAAATTCTCGCAACGATGTCACTGGGACATTTAGTTTTGTGTTTGGTTAAAATCTTGAGCCTCAACCAAGATCAAACCAATGTAGAAACATGTTTTAGCAGAATTATGTCCGATGGCCACATTGTCATCTGGATATTGTTCTGAATAGAATGTGTGTCAAATGGCTCACCCAGTCACTATGTGTGCTATGTTGTAATCAAAGTATTTTAAATATCATGAACTGCTGATCCAAGCTAAATATGTGTGTAGTCTTTGTAATAATAATCCCTGTTTCCCTACTCTACACACATACCCAATCACATATTATCTGGTGTTTCTAGAAGTTTGTAGGAAACAGCCATCCTGGTATCCTGATGTTGAGCAGATGTCACTGGAAGTTACATTTCCTTCCACACATTGACTGTTTCCTGAAGTATTTTGTAAAACCTCCCCCGTTGGTTCAGAGATCAGAGATGGAGTGACTCGGTAGGAGGCAAAAACAGGAACTACTGGCCTCTGAATTTCTCCTTCCTCACTCACCGCTCTAACCAGCTTAATTTTACTTCAAAGATCTGTTTTCTTGTGGCGGTGTCGCAGCACCAGTGGCCCATATTCTTTTACTTGGCCTGCTGAGATTTTAAAAGTATGTTTCCGTAGCTGTGTCCAATTAATGGCTGATTTGATTTTGTTCTGGTTTAATTTGTAGGTTGCCCTGACATGGACACAGAGATGATTCCTAAATTTTCGACGAAGGATGAAGAAGTAGATTACTGGAAAAGCCAAGCTCTCAAGTACAAGAAATGGTAAGTTCTCTATAGTATTACTTAGATTTTTTCTTCTTTTTTTTTCTGAAACCCCAATTATTTACCTTCTTAATACTCTTCTATGCCATTATATTGTTATGGAAAATGTTCTTACTCACTCAATTCATGTTCAATGTAGCGTTTGGAGGATAAGACTACATATTTGTCCACAGGTAGACCACAGCTACATATTTGTCCTGAGATAGCACACCACACAGCTACATTCTTGTCCTGAGGTAGCCCTGTGCCACCTTGTGATCAGCAGACTTCCAGAGGAGAAAACCTCTTATGCACAATTCTCAGTATTCTTCATTATATTATAAGCATATCTGTACACATAACATAACTGTGGGTCCTCTTTGAACACTGGATCTTTTTTAGCCTTGAGCTTTAGCCTCGTGCTGCTGCTGGCTGTGGTATGTGTGGAACAACAACTATTCATGAATTCCTCTGAAGAGACATTGTGAACCCGAGTCAGCTGATCAGTGTCCCGAACTGTTAACAAGCAGATCTGTGCAGTGTAAAACCGATGTAAACCTGGTCAATAATGGGGAATAGTGGACTGCAAAATAATTGGTTTATCTGATTTGAAGGTAGAGCTCAATGAGTTGGGTGCTTGAATTGTAAAGTCTATTTTCACTTTTATGTTTTATTAAAAAGTAAAACATTTTTTTATATGTATATATTTTTTTTATCTAATACATAGTCTACTCTAGTGCAAATAATTTAGAATCATTGGTAGATTGCATTTTCCTAGTGTGGCTCATGTGTGGCTTTTGTATAAAAATATGCAAAACGGCAACATTGTTATTTTGCCAAATTGATGCAGAATAGAAATATCCGTCCCCTTGGAGAGGATGGTTCATCAGCAGTTTAATCATGATTTGTATTTACACATTGTTAGTACAAACACATAAACACATTTACAGATGACATTCACTCTTTGACTCTAGCATCAAAACTTCATGAGCCAATCCAAAGCTTAAAAAGTCAAAAATTAGGAGCTGCGCTGGTAAACGGGCAAACATGAAATATCTCAATAAGTGTTTCAAATAATCATTAGACACATTAACTGTTCCTAATGAAACGGCTCTGGTTTCATCGGTTTATAACAGACAACAGGAGATGAAGCTACTGGAACACGCCGCCGTTTTCTTGCATTATTGTGTCGGACAATAGCACTAACAAAAGGCAGCAGTGCGATGTTGAACAGGGGCCAGCACACAAACACACACACACACACTTTGACACACATTTCTCCTCTTTGTTGTGTCCAGCTCTCAGGAAGCCCAGGATGAGCTGCTGGAGTTTCAGGAGGGCAGTCGGGAGCTGGAGGCCGAACTGGAGGCACAGCTGGGTCAGGCCGAGCACAGACTCCGAGACCTCCAGTCCGAAAACGAGAGACTGAAGAATGAAGTGTCCAACCTGAAGGTAACAACTCCGAAGCCTCCGGAGCCTCTGCGTGCAGGTTATTTTAGAACGCCATTGATTATTTGTTACACAAGAGGATATGTGAGCCTTGTTGGCCGCTGGAAGTAGGTCAAGTGTCAGCCAGGTAAATCCAACAGCACCCTTTACCGGGAATTGGGAAGGTGCAATGGGAGGACCTTTTAATGGTCTTAACTAAAAATTAAAAACTACAATTATAGGAGGGAAAAAATTGACTGTAGAGTTTTAATTTTTATGGTTTGAAAGTAAGCTGCCCCAGCTTTAAGTCAAGACCATGTACCTTTAATTATAATATTAAATTAAGTATGCTTTATTATTAACTATTTCTAAAGTAGTTCCGAATTATAAAACCAAAACATTGAACTAAAAATACTTGAATTTGGGGTACGTAACTTTTTATTTCATATATAAATAAGTAATAAATGTAGTTTGTAAATCAGGCCATTTGAAAACATTATAATCTGTTGCATACTTTGGGCTGAGTGAGGGTGGTCCTTTCATTTTTTTTAAAAATTGATTCTAAAGATGTGACAGAGGGTGAAAATACACGGAGGTGAAAACTAGGGACAGAGCCAGGAACTGGTTACATCGATGTATCCATTGTTGTGGTTTAAAAGCTAGGTGCCCCGACTTTAAAATTCAGACTTCTTCAGATTGACTAATGCAGGAGGAACTTGGGCCCTGCTTGGGTATACACACACCACAGTTTGTGAAACACTGCTAAAACCTCAATAACAAACCTTTTGTACATTTGCAGGAGAAGCTGGAGCAGCAGTATGCACAGAGTTATAAACAGATCTCGATGCTGGAGGACGATCTGGGGCAGACGCGCAGCATCAAAGAGCAGCTTCACAAATACGTCCGCGAGCTCGAACAAGCCAACGACGACCTGGAGCGCGCCAAGAGGTCAGACACACCGCAGCTTTCTCACTGCCCTGCATCCGAGGAGAATTCTTTTGTTAACGTGTTTCGTCTTGTTCAGGGCCACGATCGTGTCGCTCGAAGACTTTGAGGGTCGGTTAAATCAGGCCATTGAGAGAAACGCCTTTCTGGAGAGCGAGCTGGACGAGAAGGAGTCTCTGCTCGTGTCGGTGCAGCGTTTGAAGGATGAAGCTCGAGGTGAGAGGAGAGCACAGTGAAGGAGGAATATTTAAACACAGCTCACAGTAAAATAATCATGTGCAACTAATCAAGTTTTATCATGATGACCATCGAATGATCGCTTACTGCTGTTTATAGAGACACAAACATAAATGCAATTAATTACATTGTTACTCAAACTTCTTAACAATACAATAAGAAAAGATCATCTAATGATGACATGGATTTTTCTGTAAAATAAAATCTATTAGAATTTTCCAGAGGCCTCAGCTTTTTCTATGTCACATTTGTATATAATCTATTGCCTGATATAATTTATTGCCTCAAACAATTGATAGATGAATCAAAAGAATAATTGTCGCCTTAAAGGCATGTCAAATGTAAACTATTTACATAGGTCAGTGTACCAAAAGGTAAAATTGGTTCAAGGCTAAATGTCTCAATCAGTAAAATATAAAAATGATGAACCCTCTTTAAAGTTGGTTTCTATCACGTACCGCCCAATAACACAAACTGAGTGTTATATTTTACACAAACATAATTCCAGTCTTGATGATTTGAAACTTGTTGATATGTCCTGCCCTAAATTCAATTGTCTATTTCTGGGGTTTTCTCCCAGATTTGCGGCAGGAGCTGGCTGTACGTGAGCGGACTACAGATCGGATGTCGGCCCCCAGCTCTCCCACCCTGGACCTGGACAAGAGCGAGTCTGCAGTCCAGGCCTCTTTATCTCTACCAGCAACACCTGTAGGAAAGAGCGCAGAGCAGCCCTTCCAGCCTCCCAAAGGTCAGTGCAACTCTCACTGTCCTTGTACTGGAAAAAACCAGAGCAAAGTGAGAAGAATCTTAACAAGAGGAATAAGACTTATCAAAAGAAAGTAGAAGAATCTACTCAAATAAAGGAAATATATTTTTATCTGACCAGTAATGTAAAAAATAACATTTTTGTTTTTCCATTCTTCAGCCTTGTCCAACGGCACCACAATGCTTACCCCTTCAGCTCGAATTTCAGCCTTAAATATAGTTGGGGATCTCCTCAGGAAGGTTGGGGTAAGAACAAGTTTACATATTCTCATTTTTAAAAGTCCTTTTTTAGAACAATGGTTAATATAAAAATGAAACTTTCTTCCAGGCTTTGGAGTCTAAACTCGCTGCTTGCCGGAACTTCACCAAAGACCAAGCGGCGAGAAAAAACTATGAAAACGGCTCACTCATCAACAGCAACGCAACAAAGTTCTCTCACTCTCTTCACACCACTTACTTCGACAAAACGTACGCTGCCTCTTCTCAATTATCTTCCCGTTGCGTTTCGACACGTTCATAATCTTCCGTCTTTTTGCAGGAATGTCAACGGACTAGACCCGAGCCCACTGACCTCTTTGAAAGCCTCTCGAGCTGTTTCTCCACCGGGAATGTTGCCTCTGAGCGTGTGAGGCGAGAATCGAAAACTGTTAAACCAAGAGGACACTATAGGCTGTTGACGTTTGTGCGTGAGACGAAAAGTGTGTACGGTTATCTGTGGGAGGGCTTTTTATTAGACTGAATGGACTACAATGCTAACACTTTGTGCATGTGCCTCAAGCTGTAAGGCTCTATCGATGTCACTGCAAAAGTCTCTGTATGTTAAGTTCAAAATGAGTCCAGTTACTACTACTATTCACCTTTGCACAGTTTGTTAACAATGAAACTAAAAGGGACTGTTTGTACGAATGAATTTTGCACATCTGTGAAACTTTTGAATGCCTTTTTGCTGTTTCTTTTTTTTGCATGTGTTATTTATGAAAGAGGTATGGCTGGACCTTGTATACTGAAATGTATGACTGAAGTGAATGTTGACCGTTCAATGTAGCCAGTGTTATAATTTTTTTTACTGACATTTTTATTTAATTTAATTTTGTTATTTGCATCTTGAAATACATGTTTTTAAATGCCACTTATATGTCACTCTGCAACAAATGCTTTATACTGTGTTTGTTGTGTTACTTTTGACAATGTTTTTTTCCATCCATATTGTAACAGGCGTTTACTGTATAATCTTGCTTCCCGTTTTGGCAAGCCAGTGTCATTGAGTTTATCAGTTTTGACTTGCATACAAGTTGTATGTGCAAAACCAGTTGGATCAAATCAAACTCATTTGATTGGTCTATTGCTGAATCCTCTATCCTGTTGGAAAGAGTGCCTGCTTCCTTTGTTCTGCCCTCACTGTACATGGCTTTTAGAATAGCTTGGATTTGTACATACTGACTAATGCTAAAGTATTTATTATATATTGCTTAAGGCATCCGTTTGGATACGGAGATTCATACTGTTAATTTTGTATTTATCAGTTTGTCCAATTTGTTTAAGTAAAGTTTAAGATAACAGGAAGATTGTGGGTTTTTTGGTGTGGCAGTAACAGACAACCTTTATCATAAAGTCATTTGTTTATTACAAAGATATTTTAACCTACCGCTTATATCCTACCAACAAAATGTTCACTTTATTCTGCCTAATTGTGAGGTAGATTTGTCTTCATTCACTTCCCCCCTCAGTGGTTGCATGTTATCAATATCTAGGTCTGTGGTCGTCCAGTAGGTTGGATCCAGCTCTGGCCACTTCTTTCTGCTGTTGTTAGGGACTTGACCTTTGCCTGTGTGTGCAAGAGATAAAAACCAGGTTGGCAGCTGGCTTATATTGATCTAGTGTTTCAGGACAGCTGAGGTGTGTGAAGTGAATAATGACGACCATAGAGGCTTGTCAAGTTTTAAAATTTAATAAAAATACAGAACCCTGATATTAAATGGCTTGATTGTTGGAGTGAAATATATGTCAGTAGATTCATTAGTACTGCTATGTCATTGAAGGCCAAGTTGTTTCTCCATATTTTCCTTCAGCGTCATCTTCTTGATCTGAAAGCGTTTAAATCAAAAAAATGTCACAACAACATAATTATACTTTGAATGTGTAGAAAACAGCTCCTACCTTCCCCGATGCTGTCAGTAGGAAACTGTCCACAAACATCACATAATACGGGATTTTAAAGTGGGAGATCTGTAATAGACGGTAGATGCTATTGTAAACACGTTTATAGAGGCTGGGTTTTTATAATGTAATGGTCATTCAGAGTTTTGCTGACCTGTCCTTTGCAGAATGACTGGATCTCTTCTGGAGTGCAGCTTTGTCCGTCTTTCAGGGTGATGCATGCACACACCTGCTCACCCAGCCGCTCGTCTCTCACTCCTACCACCTAGAAAAAAAACATTTAAGCTTATCCTTGACTAATTCTTTGATTATTAAATATGTGTTATGAGCAATTTAAAGCTGGGGTACCTATTTTTCATTTTACTAAGTTCCAACAGAAAGAGTCTTGTGAATGTGGAATGTTGTGATTGAATCAGACTACACCATGTCTTCAGAACCCATATCATTTTTTGCATACTTGTAAGAAAGAACCCTGAGTCACAATCTGATGATTTGGGCTGAGAGCTGAGAAACTGGTACTCTCTTGTTTCGGTCTGAAAAGCCGGTCTTAAGCTATGCTAGAGGCCAACAAATGTATGCATATGAATACCAGTGATGGAACCAAACTGTGAGAACGATGATTAGTTACATTTTTGGTGGTTTGAAAGTTAAGTAACCCAGTTTTCGCTCATTGATGCCCTCTAGTGGTGTCATTGCCTACCTGCACCTCTTTGACTTTTGGATGTGTGAATAAAAACTGCTCTACTTCTGCTGGATAGATGTTTTCACCTCCTCTGATGATGAGATCTTTTATCCGTCCTTCTATGGCACAGTATCCCCTGCTGTTCAAACTGGCTATGTCTCTTTGAAAGTAAAAATAACATCAATAATAATAACTAATTAAAAAATAACAAAGACAAGTTACCATGAATTGTCATTAATGTGAGAGAAAAAGAATGTATAATCTTTGGATTGGTGATAACCAAGCATACCCTGTTCTGTACCATCGATCTTTACCAATGGCCTCTTTGGTTTTAGCCTCATCTTCCCAGTAGTCGAGCATCACGCAGCTTCCTCGGATTAGCAGCTCTCCTGAGGCTCCAACAGGAACTATGGACCCAGTGACAGGGTCCACCACTTTGGCCTGACACACATCATGAGTTAAACAATAGTTCATTTTGACAAGAAAAGTTTGCATTAAAGCATAACTATTACTTTTTAATTTTGTTTATATAGTCCATTCTAACTGTCAGTACTAGTGTATTATTATTATTATTATTATTATGCTAATATGAATATTGTCAGTTGAGGTATCTCCTAAAGATTGGAATTTCCAGTGAAATTGTTCAGTGAAATATATCTTGTTTTTTATTTATTATTGTTATTATTTGTATGTCTGTTCGGTAGCTTATGTCTTATCATCTTGTTTATCACCAAAGACATTGACAAAGGCTTTGACACAAAAGTTTGTGACTAAATGATGAGTGTACCTCTGTGTGGGGCATTATGCAGCCCACTGTGTTCATCCTGAGCTCGTCATTGTCCAGAGGGAAACCTACAAAGGTGGCCGGGCTGTTCTCTGTCGTTCCATAAACCACCTACATACATTTCAGTACATTATAATAATGACGCATAAGTTCACAATGACAGTAAATATAGTTTGTTTACAATATCTTACAGAGATTTCTTTCATGTTCATGTCAGTTTTGAGTTTCCTCAGAATCTCAGGAGGACATGGGGCTCCTCCCATGAGACCTAGCCAACAGTGATAGTGCTCCATAAATTCATAAAGTGAAATATAAACAATAAAAGTACATTTTTTGTTCAAAGTGCCATGTGGCATGGTTAAAACAAACCTCCTTCAATTGAAGACAAGTCATATGTGTGTAGATCTCTCTGGTTGAGCATATCTGTGTGCATTGTGGGGGTCCCGTAAATAATATTACACCTGGAATGACAATTATCAAAGTGAGTAAATAAACATATACTGTACAGTTATGCTTGAAAGTTTAAACACAGTAATAGATGTCCTTGTGTTGGCCATACTTTGGAAATTCTGAATGAGAACACAGTCACACATTTCTATAAGGGTTGTGTGAAGCCTTATGTTGTCAAATATAGTATACATTTTTATTTATTTTTTGTCTTTGTCAAGTTTTAAATTAGAACATTATAGACTCAATCTGAGGAGTGCTCATATTCTGCAAGGCAACCCAGGAAGAAGAACCTGTCAGAGAGTGCAAGGAACCTCATCCACAACAACCACAGAACACAAAAGCTGTCATAGTGTAAACATGCACTAATGAGAACTTTATACTGAATTTCTCCTTTGTGAGATAATTACGTACATCTCATCTCATCTCAATGGAAAATTCTACTTAAGGAATTTACAGTAGTTAATGTTATCAGATAAACACAAGTCTAGTGTGTAGACCTCCAAGCCCAAGTAGTAAACAAAGTATGTTTTTCACAACCATAGTTCACCTTTCATTCTGAATTGCCTTGAGGTTGGCCTGACTGTTGTAGCCTTTGGAGGGAAAGACCAGTGTGATGCCATGTACCGCCATGCACATCCCCGCCAGCACAGAGCCGAAGCAGTGGTACAAGGGGACAGCAACACACACTCGCACGTCAGGCTGGAAGCAAGGGTCCAAACAACAACTGTTATCACTTTTAGACGATTCTTTCTTGTGTCAAAAATGATGAGAAAAACACAAGCTTACCTTCCATCCATAACCAAGTCTAAGGCCCAAAAAGTAGGCATTGTTTACGATATTATGATGCGACAGACAGGCACCTTTTGGATTTCCCGTTGTTCCCTGCAAGACAAGCAACATTATCATTTTGTACAAGCATTTGTTTTGTCCTTTAAATGGCTTACTGATGCAATAATAATGGGTTTAAAATGTAGATTATTAACGTTAAACTATCCCTAACTGGTCTTTGGATCAAACTCCAAAGATTGTTGTCAACAGAATAATAGAATACCGAAGTGAACTGGATGTTAATGGGATCGTCACAGGAGAGCTTTCTCTGCAGATCCATCAGTTCTTTGTGGTGTTGACTCTCGCCCGCTTCCATGGCGTCCTGGAAATGAAGCGTCCCTGGCTCCACACTGTCCATCACGATCACGGTACGCAGGTCTGGAAGTCTGCGGGAAAACGTTACGGAGGGAACTTTTGACAATGTCTAACCATTCTGTTTCTAAACTTTACGGTTTGTTTGTTTTTTCTTTCTTGTTTTTTTCTTCTTTGATTGATTGACCATTTGATTGATTGATTGATTAACCTGGAGCTTTGGATGTGGCCTTTTGGTGATGTATCCATTTCTGGACAAAGGTTTCTGAGGATTTCAGTGAACTTTTGGGTTTTGAAACTAGAGGGACAAATGACTGCCCTACATTGAACCTGTAAATAAAGAAGTTACAGGCTTCAATTATTAATATCAAAACTTGATCTAATTTGGGCTTCAATTCTTACCTTATTTAGGGTACACTCTACCTCCTTCATCTGATAAGCTGGGTTCAGAGAAACCTGCATCAAAGAAGTGGATTAGGTTTCAAATTATCTTAAAATTAATGTATTTGATGCAGTAGGTCCAGGTAAATGAGCTTTCTGACTGACCAGTATCATCCCAGCCTTGGCGGTGGCGAACTGAGATAGGATCCATTCATAGGAGTTCGGGCCCCAAACTCCCACGCGGTCCCCTGGCTTTAGGCCGAGAGCAAGAAGTCCTGCTGCCAACCTGTCCACCTGCATCAACACAAAGGTCAGACAAAGAGACATTTACTCTTACAACAGCAGTGCAGCTGTTAAAAGCAAGTCAGCAGATAAAAGCAGAAAACTCTCCTTTTCTCTGTTGATCTCTTAAAGCACCTGTGTTTTCTTTCTTAATATTATGCAGTGTGTCCCAACAGAAAGAGTAAAATGTTGTGAGCCCATCCATCCATTTTCCACCCTTCAATCCATTTCTGGGTCAGGGGGGCGGCAGTCAGAGATACCACCCAAGTCCCACAGCACCAGCCCCCCACTGATCCCCCGCAGGTGGCGAGTCCACAGGAGGACGGCTGCTCTCTGACTGTGAGCATAGCCTTGATCTTTCAGTGGGGGCTTTGGGCAAAGTGGGGTTAAGTGTCTTGCCCAAGGACACAACGACAGCAGTCATCAGTGGGAGTCGGTGGAGAAGGTGCAGAGGTGGGAATTGAACCCACGACCTTCAGGCCTGAAGGCCAATGCTCTACCAACTGAGCTACTGTCGCCCCCCTTGTTGTGAGCCAATCAGACCAAAACATGCTATCTTGATTTAATTAGCAAACATTATATGGTGCAACTAGCCTTAGGGGAGGTCAAACCAGTCCTCAATCACTGGAACCAGTTTTAACACCCCTGCTTTAGAATGGAGTGAGGGCAGTCAACTCTAGTTTTACTTTTTCTGACAAAAAAGCTGATCTAAAATTGTGACAGAGATGCATGTGAAAAAAATCTGTTTTTAGAGCAAGGAACTAGTTAACTATTAAATAGTTAAAGCAAAGGAAGGTTTCTCACCCATCATCTGTACTTCTTAGCAAGTTTTCCCGACGTTTCGTCCTCAAACTAGCGGACTTCTTCAGGGAATGAATTCTCAGACCGCGCGTTGGAGATTTATAACCTATGGGTGTGGTAAGCCACACCCTAATCCTGATACTAACTCGTAAACAATCTAAGGTCTGATGTAGAAGGGAGCAGGTCTAACGACCCTGCTGAGGCTAACGACCCTAACTCCTTAGCATGTCACAGACCTATTGTCTGCTGGGATGCTCAAGTGGAGTGCAGGTCTCACCCCTCCTAACTCATTAGCATGTCACTGACCTTGTCCCAAGTTAGGGCGTTGTTTTTAGGATGTCGTCATAGATGCGAGGCAAAACAAATCTTAACCCTCCTCCTCTGTTAAGAGAAGGTTTTTGTTTCCTCACAAAAATGGCTTCTTTCACTCCTCTCTCAAACCAATTCTTCTCCCGAGCCAGAATTTTAACCTCTGTGTCATCCACCGTGTGGTTGGAGGCCTTGAGGTGGAGATGAACAGCCGACTGTGGCCCACTAGAGTTTTCTCTACGATGTTGGTAAAGTCGTTTCTGTAGAGTTTGTTTCTCCAATATAGTGGTCAGTGCACTCCTCTTCACTACATTTAAGTGAATACACCACATTGCTCTGTTTGTGTCTGGGTGTTTTGTCTTTGGGATGCACTAATTTCTGTCTTAACGTGTTGAAAGGTTTGAAATACACAGGGATTTTGTGTTGCCTAAAGATTCTTTGTAGTTTCTCTGAAACTCCCGCCACATACGGTAAGGACACTCTCCTCCTACTTTCTTCTGTCTGTAGGACATGTGTCCCTGGCCACTGTGTTCCCTAGGGTGACCATTTGTCCCGCATTGTGCGGGACTGCACAGCATTTTCATCCCAAATCCCGCATCACGCAAATTGATCGTGTGTCCCGCATTTTAATATCCTCAGCACATATTTTTTTTAAATTAGACACGGACTTTGCTTGACATGACTGCGATCTCCTGTTGCTCCTCTCTCTCTCCCCTAAAGTTAAACCAAGAGCCAGTAATGCGGCGCTGCAGCGGGGGCAAAAATACTTTTGATAGGGGTGGGGTTTGGTTTAGTTGACAGCTGCCAGCTAGTCAGCCCGCGCCGCGGTTCTTCCCCACAACATCGGCACGCCACGCCCCTAACAACAAAGCCGCGAATGAAAATCACGTCAGTCACTGACCGAAGAAATGTTAGCATTTTGGAGAAAAGCATGGAAAAAAACGCTAAAAAACGGAGATGCTCCTACAATCGTAACTGGGCACAAGTATATTATTGGGCAAAAGCAGTTAATGGAGATTCTCAGTCTGTTTTTTGCGAGTTATGCCAAAGTAAATTTTCTGTCGCTCACGGTGGGGAATTCGACGTGAAGAGGCACAAGAAATCAGAGACCCACATGAAAAACCAGCTTACAAAAGACACGTCCAGGTCCATGCAGGATTATCTGCAAAAAGGCAAAGATTTACAAAGTGACAAGGTAACTGCAGCCGAATTAGCACTCGTTGACCACACAGTTCAGCATTCCCACTCATACAGAAGTGCAGACTGTGAGATTAAACTGACCCCAGTCGTGTGCCCTGATTCTGAGATTGCAAAAAAGTTGTCGTGTGGCCGCACAAAAGCAGCAGCTTTAGTGACAGACGTCCTCGCTCCTGCATCAGTCGAAACATGTCTAAAAGAACTAAAGGCACCTATTGTACATCATTTACAGACTGAAAAGACTGCATCCTCACCATATTTCTCAGTGGCCTCAGATGCTTCTAACCATGGAAGTACAAAACTTTTCCCACTGTCTGTCAGATATTGGACTCCAGAATTAGGAATGAAAAGCAAGATACTGGATTTTTACGAAGACAGTGATGAATCGGCAGCCAGTATACACAAACAAATAACAAACAAAATCAATGAATATGGCTTAAGCCTGGACATGGTTTCAGCATTTTGTAAATTACGGGAAAAACAACTCTGTTTTCCAGAAACTCAAAGTAAACAACAGTGGTATTGTTAAGGCAAACTGCATGGCACACGTAGTGCATAATACAGCTAAACATGCTGGAGACAGACTGGACATTGATATAGAGATGGTGGTCAACATGCTGGAGACAGACTGGACATTGATATAGAGATGGTGGTCAACATGCTGGAGACAGACTGGACATTGATATAGAGATGGTGGTCAACAAAATGTTCAGCCACTTTTCATCATCTGCCAAACGGACTGAAGAATTAAAAGCAGTGTTTGCTTTTGTGGAAGAAGATTATTTTACTATCAGAAGACACATTCCCACTCGATGGCTGAGCTTGTGGCCTGCTGTAGCACGGCTACATGATTCCTGGAGTGCCATCAAGAGCTACTTTTTGTCCCTGGGGGAAGATCAGTGTCCAAAGTCACTATGGGAGTTGTTCAAACAGGACATTGATGGAGAGGGACACACTCTTGCACTACAAGTGTACCTGTCATTTCTCAGTAATGCACTAAAAGTATTTCATGAAGTTGTGCTTGTACTTGAGAAAGAGGAGGGAACTGTATGTGATTTGTATGACATCATGGTCAACTTGAAGACAAAGCTGCAGCAACGTTATTCTGATTCCTTTTTTGGAATGGAGACAAGTGCACTACAAAACATCCCAAATCAAGAGGCGAGAAAAATAAAGACTGATCTAGCAAACTTCTACACATCTGCACTGGCTTATCTTGAGAAATGGTATGATTTTTCTGATGGAAATTATCAGAAGCATGTAGCCAGCCTGTCTTTAAAGAGCCAGTTCAACTTCTCTCAGCTTTGTGATGCAGTGGAGATCCTTCAGTTGAAAAGTAAAATAAACTTGGATGACCTATATGAAGAGTACTGCTCAACTATGCCATATCAGTTAGGAATTGTGGAGAGAAAGGTTCCTGTTCCTGAAAGATGGGAACTGTTACTCAAAGGCAAACAAGCACCAAATATGTCAGTCCTTGCATCATTTCTTCTCAGTATCCCCATCACCAATGCTGCAGTTGAGAGGGTGTTTTCTCACATGACAGCTGCCTGGACAGACCAGCGTAATCGAAGCTCTGTAGAATTAATCAAGTCTGAAATTCATATTAAAAACAACTTAAATCAAAGCTGCAAAGATTTCTACAGTTATGCACTAAAGGACAAAGCCATGCTGGAATGTGCACAGTGCAGTCGAAAATACAAGCTGAAGAAGAAGTTGTAAAGTAAGTTCTTATTTTCATGTAAATGTACCTATTTGACTATAACATGTTTAACAAATTGATCCTTTCCTTTCTGCAGTGAGTTTTTGGAACAATCCTACCGTTGCAGTTCTGGACAGGGATACATGATGAGCATGTAGAGACCTTTCAGAAGGAACAAGTTGAGAAAGAAGTAAGTAAGTATATCCTATTTTTTATGAAAATGTTAGCTATTTCACTATAATAACAATTTACTCATTTGTTTTATTTTTCCTTTCTGCAGTGGGTTTTTGGAACAATCCTCCTGCAATAGTTCTGGGCTGGGAGTATGCATAAAGTTTGTTTTGTTTTCTTGGCCTATGCATCAATGCTAAGTTTCTTATAAAATAAAGACTTTGGGAATCAAATATAGAGTATTAGGTTTTCCTTATAACACACAACTTTATTTACGCACATACACTTAATTTCACAAAATATATCATATGTAATGAAAATAATGATATTTTTTGTTACATCTGCGAAGTGTCCCTCATTTTCATGATTTGTCCCACTTAAATAGACCTGCTGTCCCACATTTGTGCGGTTAAGATCTAGTCACCCTAGTGTTCCCGACGTTTCGTCCTCAAACGAAACGTCGGGAAAACTTGCTAAGAAGTACAGATGATGGGTGAGAAACCTTCCTTTGCCTTGACTAATCCCTGTACGACTGAGGGCTTACACAAACTTATTAAATAGTTATTTTTTGAAAGTTGATTATATCAGCTTTAAATCTATTTTATCCCATTATTGATGAACGTCATGTCTACATTCTAAAGGTTTCCTCAACCATTTGGTAGATCACCTTTGGAGTCACTTCATTGATTTGAGGCATGCTTTGAACTGAAGTCTCTTTGGGGCATCTCATTTGGTTATAGGCATATTACCCTCAAACTGTTCCAACATCTTAGAAAATCCAAAAAGAAAAAAAAAACTTTCTTCCAGGAGTGAGCATTAAAGGGTTAAATCCATGTCTGAATATTTAACACTTACATCTTGGTTAAACTGTTGAAAGTTTTTGCGCGCCCCGTCCTCCACACAGACCACAGCCTCTCGTTCGGGCCAGCGGAGAGAGACCGAGTCCAGGGCCTGGCTCACGGTGAGCGGCAGCAGCGACACTGAGGACGTGCCGTGGACGTAACTATCTCGGAGAATGGGCTGCTGCGGGGGACCGTCTACGTGAAGCCTCCTGCCATTCACTAAACGTCAAAACTCACGCAGCTGATTATTACGCACAAACAATAACAACACATACCTCACGCAACTTTTCGTGCAATATTTCCATTTGGAGTGAGTTTTGAGAACGCCACGCAGCATAGTGCTCAAGGTTTAGAGCTCCGTGTTGGTCTCAATGGAATGATTGTGCAACGCCTTCACTGTCTGTTTGGTCTAGCAATGTGTATTGTAAATGTTTAACTAGATCTCTCTGTACACAAAAGATTATTTTCTGTTCTTTTAAACTTTTAGTTAAAAGTCTGCAAAATGCTGCTATGGAAAAATCGTTGAAGTTTATGGGTAATTTCTCTGTAATTCCTGGGCCAATCCACCAATCCAATCAATGGTTACAAAGTTCCCCATTTTATTTGTCAGGACATATCAACACTGATAATTTTCTTTAAAAAGTTTCTGGAAGTGGCAACAATGTTTTATTTTAAAAAACATATGCATGATTATGGCCGTTTAAAAGAATTTCAAGAGTAATATAAAAAATAGCTATTTTAAATAGTGCTTTTTTAACGGACACCTGAAAATGTTTCACATTATCTGTTCACACGATGGTGATAAACTACTGTAGCCACAGCTGCCCTACCACAGAAGCAAGACAACCATAAGCTTGCAATCAAATAAATGATAATATATTTACAACTCTGAGCAATGTGGGAGAAGTGTCTTGCATAAGGACAAAACAACAATTTAGCACTTTACAGCTACAGTCGTCCCTTTGAGACTCCTGATGTCCTCAGAGGTCTTCCATCACAGTAATAACCAGATTGTGCAGTACTTAGTTACATAAGGATGCCAGGATCTGGCTTTCACATGGGTGGCACCACAGATGGCCTTATGGGTGCTGTAACTGTCAAATAGGAAACATTGTCTTTTTCACCATTTCTGTACAACCATAAAAAGGCCATAAACGCAGTTGTTATGCTGAATGACAAAATATTTTGGCATTACATGATTTCAATAATCTCAATATCATAACACAATTAATTTATAAGGCATTAACGTGTCTTTGCATTAATCAATCAATCAATCAACCCCAATGATAAAGAATGCACCACTCTATCACAACTTTGTTTTGTTTTTATAGACCAACGTAACGGACTCCACGTTACTCCCCTCACTTCCAACATCATCCATGCGGTCCAATCCCATCCCGCACATCATTGACAACCCAACACCACAACCCCCATCTTACCTGCTCCGTTACTCAGAAAGATGAGCCCCTGCTCTCCTCCCCAGCAGAGGATCCCAGTCATATCCAGACCCCGCCCCTACAGACCGTCCACTCTCAGGGAACCATCCTTCGCTAACATCATCACTGTTTCTCTCTCTCCCCATCCTCTGCTCCTCACCATGGTCTTTTGAACTCTGGACCTCTGAACAATAAAACTGCCTCAAAAGGTACACCTCCAACGCCTCTCTCAAGCATAAGTTGCTCTTTCCAAAGTACGCTCCATTTAAAATAGACTTTTATCATTTACTTTTAGAACAAAGACTTGATGTTATGTTCTTAACCGAGACCTGGCTGGGTCCAGATGCACCAGCAGTTCTGACAGAGAAACTTCAGAATTCTGTATGTTTTAATTTGGGAATAAACATAGCTCAAAACATTTACTCTGAAACGGACACATTTTTAGTAGATACATGATTAATTTAGTCTTCAAAACATTATGGGCCTTGATAATTTGCCAGAAACAAGTAGCAACAAGCTGGTGTTTCTGATCCCTCTGGCAGACTGTAGATGGTGCAATCAAAATATTCCAGGGAAAAAGAGATGGAAGTTCCATCATGGAACAGTTCAGCTTTTAAGGCGGCTGATGGTCGATCTGGTGATACAATTCTCCTGGCTGCACACTGAAGTGCTGCCTGGCTTTATAGAGAACTGGGACCTTCTTCTCTAGTTGTAACTGCTTGGATCCACTGCTTGGATCCACTGACTCCTGTGGTCCGGGATAAAGGTATAGTTGTTTTCTTGGCCCACAAGAGCAACCAGGAAAAGAACAAAAACAACCGCCGTACTCAATGTTGCGTGTAAAGGCATTTGGTCAATCTCACTCCTGATGGACGTTAATGGTAACAGTAACACTCTTAATTATATTGATCTTGTAGAAAAATATAATCTCAATTTCCCAATGGAAATGCTGAATAATGGATAATGGATGGTAACATACATGATGCTAGATTCCCCTGCATTTTTATAAATGAAATAGAATTTAATAATAAAAAATCGTATGAAATAATACAAAGTTCACTAACTACCAAACTTCATCATTACCACTGAGAAGAAAGATTTTCCAAAAGAAACACAACTTAGAATTAGAACGAAATATATCTCTTTGTCCCAGCAATGACTTTCTGAGAAAGCGTTTAATTTAGATTGAAACCTTTTTTGGGGGTTGGTAGAGCATTGAACTTTGAGCCTGAAGGTCGTGGGTTCGAGCCCACCACAAGACTTTCTCCACCGATTCCCACTGATGTCTGCTGTATTTGTACTTGCATGCAAAAGCCAGATCCTGTTAGACCTTTGAAGCTGGGCAGGGAAGGGCCTGGTTAATACTGTGATGGGAGACAGTGCCGAAATGCTGTTGTGTCCTTGGGCAAGACACTTCACCCACATTGCTTAGAATGAGTCTGGTGCGTGTGAATGGTTGGTGGTGGTTCGCTGCTGTCAGTGTGCCCCAGGGCAGCTGTGGCTATAGTAGAAGTTTAGCACCACCATGGAGCGTCTTTGAGTGTCAAAAAAAGCGCTGTATAAAACCGATGCATTCTTTATTATTTTTTTATTATACAAAAACTTTTTGGATTCATTTTCAACTATAAATCACCAATCTTGATTCAAAGGCACCCAAACAACTGCATAAAGATGTAAAATGTGATGTATTTTGCAAGATAAAAAAGAGATTATTTTCATAATACCTGTATTCTGCTATAGGCACACAACTTATTGCCAAATATGAAATCAGCATCCACTATTATCAAATTTTTGCTAAAACAATGGACTTCAGAACTCTTTAATTATGTTTCTGTATTTGTTAAACTTTGATTTGCACTTTTTGAAGTTAATAATCTTCCTCGGTCTTGTATAAAGAGATTGCATTGTAAATTATTTGTATAATGAACAACCAAACAAACAAAAAAAGCACAGCCATCGGAAGTAGCTTAACACCACTGTTTAAAACAAGGAAACGTGGAAAAAAGTCTATACCTTTAAGCTAAATATGTCTTACAATACGCAGCTTAGAATACTATATGTCCATGGCCTTGTCTGATTGACGTTGAATTATCATTAGTTTTAAATCTTAAAGAAGTCCTATTCCACGAGTTTCTAAGTGCAATACCACTCCCTATGTCATGATCTCATTATGTTATCACGTGTGGTAACCTATTCTCTCGGCAGAACAGCGAGCAACTGTGGTTTTGGTAATATTTTAATGTATGACAAGAAGACAGCATGTTCTGTAGGCCCGTCAGTCGCAGCCATTACAGTGAACCGCCACACGGTGGCAGCATTATCCACCTCTTTGTGTGAGATCCAGACTCAACCGTATGCTATGCAGATGCGCCATCCTGTGGTTTTACTATGGATTTTACAGATTGTCAGAGACCGATAAAATTAGAAACATAATACTTTAATAAATGACCTTTGTATAACCATTTTGTTAAAACGAGGACATTATATTAGTATTAGTATTATCCATTAGAAGAATATGTTGTAGGAGAAACAAAAGGTGTAATGAAACGTTTACATGCAAATATTTGTCACACAACGAGGACTACAATAACTGGAAATGTAATTATAAAATACTGTTTATTGTCATGTCACAGTTATAATAAATAAATAGACTACTCATTCACTTTGTGGAGTAGAGGACAATTTCATGATCATGATCATAAATGACTTCTGCTAATCAAGAGGATAAGGCCATCCACAAATGAGTGGTTTGTGTGAGGTAGTTTTCTCTGATGAACTTGTGCCTGTGACCTCTGCTGTCCTGGTCAGCAGCAGCAGCAGCAGCAGCAGCAGCAGTGCGTCCTGGACCTTCAGCTGTTGCCAACACTTGTCCACTTAATAACTGTTGCACTCGCTCATGTCTCACTGCATGCCGCTGTAATGATTTTAATGAAATCCCTTGGCTCCTGTTCAACATGCTTTTTCTAATCCAAATCTCAGTGGACAGAGCTATGTTTAGTCCAGGAAACAGTCAGATGTCAGTGGGGACTTTTATTTTTACACTGCGTTATGACCAAACAAATATGTTGATTATTTTCTTCAATGAATAGTTCACCTCGCTGAAAAATATATGTCATACTCTCATATGTTGTCTTGAAACCAAATATTTATGTAAATTACCTGAAGAGTAATTTGGGGTTAGAGATCAGAATCAGAATTTAAAAAATATCACAAATTCACAAAATGTCAAACCATAAATCATTGTATGTGTATATTGACAAAAGTAAATCTAAACACGCAAGCCCGTTTATGTCGGACAAACTTAACATTTTAGTAGAAAAGAACAATGGTGAAAGACTTAAATATGTTATTGAGTTTAAAGGGGATATTTTGCTTTTCACTGATTCAACGATGCTGAATAATTAACATTGTGCCTGCATTTCACGGTCACTTCTATACGTTCTGTTTTTTTTACACTTCAGTCCTCTCTTGACGTCCTTCATTCAAATCCATCCATCATTCTCCGTCCAAAAGGCAAACAAACTCACATCCGCTCCAGTCTTCCGAGCTAAGTCTCTGCTTCCTCCTTCTCCATCACAAAACCTATTATAGTGCCCATTACACATCCATCAAACGCCTTGAATTCACAAATATACCATCCATCATCTCTGTGCATGTCCCTGCCCTTCATACGTCCAATGCACTTTGTAGCAATGGCACTTTTTCAAACATCAGAGCCACTTCTGTGCTGCGAATTGTAGAATAAAACATAATGCCGTACACGTATAATAGGGCTGAGATGATTAAACTAATAGTGACTGATGAAATGAGTTAATGTAATTGATAGGTGTTACAAACATTTTTGCAATAAAGCTCAAACAAGAATGGCACTTAGAATATAAACATGTATGTAATATAATAC